CCCCCACAACAAAGCAGGCAATCGCAAACCTAACGACCCTCATAATCCTTCGCCAAGGTCCCCAGATACCCCTCCAACTGCTTCCCGCCCGCAAACACCGGGTTAACATCCAACAAGATAAACAGCATCCGGCCAGGCAGCGTGCCGTTGCCCGTCACATTGATCCACTTGTGCGCCGTCGCGCGGTTGACGCAGGTATCGCCGGGGCGCATGAGCCGCTCCTCCCCGGAGTCCAGCACCAGCTTGAAGACGCCCTCGATCACGACGCCGTAGTCCAGGCTGACGGCGCGGTGGAGGGGGGACTCCACGCCCGGAGCGAAGTCGATGAGGCGGGCGACCGTGCCGTTGTGGACGTGGATTCCTGGCTGTTGTGGGATGGTGTTGTTAGTGGAGTTCGCGAGCATGAAGAAGGTGGGTGCGGCGCGGTAGGCAAACCTCATTCTCGCGGGCGTACTTGATATCGACATCGTCGTTGAGCTCCACGGGACTCTGGTTGGTCGAGTAGATGATATTGCCGATGGCCTGCTGCTCGCCCAGGACCCGGTGGTGGTCCCCGTTGTCGGTGGCCAGGAAGACGGACTGGCCTTGCGCGTCGTGGCCGGTGATGTGCCGCACGACGCGGCTCAGGCCGGTGACTGGGAAGTCCGTGGTTACGTAGCCTACGCCGCCGGGGTAGGTGTTGTCCGAAAAGATGTTCTTATCGGTGGTCATGATGATTGTGGGAAATTTCAGGGACAAAAGAGGGGGTTTGATAGAGGAGTTGTTGCGTGGGTGTGGTTGAAGGAGATGTAGATGGGAAGTAGATTATCGGCAACGGCTTCGTCTAATATATACCTTTCCCCTGTACTCCGTGCAGTGCATGGCGTAAGGATTATCCCGCAGCTTGCTGCTTCCTCGATACGAGCATCGTCTTCGTCTCCGAGGGTTCACTCGATGCTCCTCTCCGTGCCGGAAGCCCCCGGAAACAAAAAACCATACTTCTCTGACCATTTGCCAGTTGTGGAGCAGTCTATCACAATGCATGTACGGAGTAGTCGTGAGGGGCATTATGCCGGATTTCCCACCAACTACTGCAGTGGGGGTAGTCGCGAGCCGCTTATCTGTATCTGACATGCAGCTGGAACGGCCTATCTGCAGCTAAGCTACGACCAGGACGTGCATGTTGAAGGATCTACGACGGAGTAGCGGATGAGGCCGCAGCTTTTAGTGCTTACTCTGGACCCAAAATCCCTGTCTGCAACGTCGCAGCAGAAAGTAATTCACTAACGCGGAGAAAAAGGCCAAGGTATGCACAGTCGGAGGTGTCTGATTGATCAATCCGGATCATGCAGACTCCCAATGCCTTAGCGCGAAGCCGTCAAGGTCGTCCCGCCATCCACTATCAGGTCGCTTCCAGTGATGTAGCTCGAACGGGGGCTGCACAGGAAGATCACCGCGTCGGCCACTTCCTCGGGGTGGGCAATGCGTCCCATGGGGACCGCCGCCTTGATGAAATCGGCCAGCCCGTCCACCCCCGCCACAGCCTCCTGGACCATCGGGGTATCCACCCATGATGGACACACGCAATTCACCCGGATGCCATGATCCACATTGTCCAGAGCTAAGGAACGCATGTCAGCGCGGCTCCAGGCCAAAGGGTGAAAACCCGCGAAGGTATGCGGCCGATAACTCACCTGCGTTCTTGCTCAAACCCAGAACTGCATGCTTGGATGCCGTGTAGGGCAGGACGCCCGGTGCCGCAACCTTGGAGGAAGCAGAGCCCAGATTGACAATCGCCCCGCGGGTTTCGCCGCGATTGGTCGCCGACGATGAAGAATTCGTGACGGGCTCCTGGCTTCGCATCACGGCCGAGACCTCGCGAGTAACGAGAAACGTGCCGATGGTGTTCACCTCAATGAAGCGCTTGATATCAGCCAACGAGAGGCTGACGATGTCGGTCCCTTGTTGGACGCCAATCTGTCACGGCACGCAATCAATTAACTCAATTTGCAGAAGGAAAGTTTCAACGAAGGGTGGCGACAAACCCCTGCGCAATTGACACAATAGTCGATGCGGCCGAAAGCCTGTACCGCCTTATCAACAGCACGCTTGACCGAATCCTCCTTCGTGATATCGACCTGGATGGCTTCGGCGCGAAACTTGGGGTTGGACGCCACTGGAACGCACTGAGCGCCCACGGTCTCGGCGGCGGACACATCTAGATCGGCAACGATAACGCCAGCCGCACCTTCTTTGGCAAACAGCAGAGCACAGGCCTTGCCTATCCCACTTCCTATCGCAACGGTCAGCATTGGTTCGGAGGGATTTCATCAGATAGCTTCTTGTGCGCTTACCCCCGCCAACGACGAGTGCGTAGCCAGTAGTCTCCATGCTGCTAGAATAGGCGTACAAGTGGGGTCAGTACAGGTGGTGTACGGTTGAGGAAAACCTCTCGCCACGGAGGGTGTTGACAGGGTCAATTTATGTCTCCAAGTGGGCTGCTATTTGTCATGATAAGCTTATGGGTGTACTTTTGCTACCCCAACGGGAAGATGCCTGATGTGATTGCCCCCTTCCTTCCGATACGAGACAAAGTAATTGGTAGTGATAATGCAGAACGCTGATGACCGGGCAAGCGGAATCACTACCCTGGCATGGATGTAGTCTCGTCTGACCGAGAATCCTATTCGCTGACGCGGAATTGGGTCCCATCTACTGCAACGTCGTGAAGTATATATAGCTGGGACGAGACGAGGAGATGAGGGCTGTAGCGACCGGATACTCTCCTCTCTTCTTTCTTTCTTTCATCATCATCTTCTGAGACTCGATACCATGTCTGATTCTGAGCCTGTCATGGTGGGATTTCCCACTACCCCCAGTACCATGTCAGATCCTACTCCCGACGGCACTGAAACCCAAGACCGTCGGCCCTGTGATGGGGATGACAGTGCCATGGAGTCTCTCCAGGCCGACCCCCCATGTATCATTGGAATGGGTATGGCGTCTTTCAATCCCACCTGAAAGTTCATAGCACTAACCCCGTGGTCAACAGCGTGCCGCCTTCCAGGAGACATCCGCTCCCCCTCTGATCTGTGGGATTTCCTCGTCGAAGAGAAGTCCGGCCAAGGCCCTGTGCCTGCCGAGCGATACAACATCAAGGGCTATTACCACCCAGATGGACATCGCAGTGGCGGCATGGACGTTCCTGGCGGGTACTTTATCAACGAGGACGTCCGCCAGTTCGAGAACAGCTTCTTCGGTATCAACAACCTCGAGGCAACTTATATGGATCCGCAGCAACGAAAGTTGCTGGAGGTAGTATACGAGTGCCTCGAAAGTGCCGGCACCAGCATGAAGAGCATCTCTGGATCGAATACCGGTGTCTTCGTCGGTAATTTCTCAGTCGACTACCAGCCCATGCAGACCCGGGATCCAGACTACCTGCACCGGTATACGTCCACCGGTTCCGGCGCTACCATCATGTCGAATCGTATCAGTCATGTGTTCAATCTCCACGGACCGAGCTTCACGCTGGATACGGCGTGCTCCTCATCGGTCTATGCGCTGCACCAAGCTTTGACGGCGATGAAGATCGGAGACTGCGACAGCTGTATCGTGGCCAGTGCCAACTTGATCATGTCTCCCGAATTGCACATTGGTGCGGCTAAGGGTGGGGTGCTGTCCCCCACAGGCACCTGCCACACCTTCGATGCTTCAGCCGATGGCTATGGCCGTGCAGAGGGTGTAAACGCGATTTACATCAAGCGTCTATCGGCTGCGCTCAGAGATGGTAACCCGGTGCGAGCAGTGATCCGGGGGAGTGCAATCAATGCGTAAGTAATCGTACCGTCCACAGAGCCCGACAACACAGGATGGCTGATAAAAGGTATCCAGCAATGGAAAAACTCCCGGTATCTCATTGCCCAGCCGTGAGCTTCAGGAGACAGTAATGCGGAAGGCATACCAGAACGCGGGTCTAGACTTTGCTAGCACAGACTATGTCGAGTGTCATGGCACCGGTACGCCTGTTGGTGATCCAATTGAGGTTGATGCAGTGGGACGGTGCTTCTCCCCACGTCCGGAAGTTCAACTCCTAATCGGATCCGTAAGACTCCCCAGCGACTGAATGCTGATTGCGGATATATTGTCTGACTGATTTGAACATAGGTCAAAACCAACGTGGGACACAGCGAAGCTGCAAGTGGCCTGACGTCAGTCCTGAAAGTCGCCATGGCATTCGAGAACGCCAAAATCCCACCATCGCGAGGCGTGGTCAAGTTGAATCCCAAGCGTGAGCATTCCCACATCAGCCCCAACCCTGACCGCACGAAGCTGACTCACTCGGATTCCAATGTGCTATAGTCATCCTAGAGGAGCGAAACCTCAAGATCGCAACCAAGGTGGAGGAGTGGCCACGGGCACTACGCCGAGCCAGTGTCAATTCTTTCGGCTACGGAGGCGCCAATGCCCACGTTATTCTGGAGTCCATCCAGAGTTACCTGGGCGACAATTATCGGGAACAGATCAGAAGCATTTCGGGCCCATCGGTGTCTGAGACTCCGCAGCTGCTTGTGTTGCCTGTGTCTGCGTCTTCGATCTCGTCTCTCGAAGCGCGCATGAAAGGTGTAGCCCGGGCTGTAGCACAGAATCCGGGTCAAGAAGCACTTGCAAATCTGGCATACACGCTTACCAAGGGTAGGGACCACCTACAGTATCGCAGCTTCCACATCGCCAGCGCGGATGGTAAATTGAACCTTGGAGAAGACGCAGCGACACCCGGCAGGTCAGACAAGGGGTATCCTTTCGCCTTCGTTTTCACCGGCCAGGGCGCACAGTATGCCGGCATGGCGAAAGAGCTTTTGCTCCAGAGTGAACATTTCCGAGCTACGATCCATGGTCTGGATCGTGTGCTCCAGCGACTACCGGTCCCGTACGCCCCGAACTGGACCATTGAGCAGACTTTGCTCAATGACGACCCCAAAACAAGCGATATCAACAAGGTTACCCACAGCCAACCTATTTGCACCGCTATCCAGATAGGAATAATCGAGTTGCTGCGCAGTTGGGACGTGCAGCCCGCGGCCGTTGTCGGCCACTCGTCCGGAGAAATTGCTGCAGCTTACGCAGCAGGACTGCTGTCTTCCACCCAGGCCATTCTGGTGGCGTACTATCGTGGATACGCCGTCGGAAAGTTGCAGACAAAGGGATCGATGATGGCCGCTGGCATAGGAGCCGAGGCGGCCAAACAATTGATCAAAAGTCAAGGGTTGGAGACCCAGGTTCAGGTTGCCTGTGTCAATGCACCAGAGAGCGTAACCCTCAGCGGCTCATCTGAGGCAGTTGATGCCATCCATGAGGAGCTCCAGGCCCAGAAGAAGTTTGCCCGCAAGCTCGACACGGGAGGACGGGCTTATCACTCTCACATGATGAAGGAGGTCGGTCCCCTCTACGAGGAGCTCCTCGCCGATTTGCTCACCCTGCCGGGTGACGATAAGCAGGAGAGTCCTGTCAGTGGTTCTGAGGTGAAGATGTATTCATCTGTCGGTCATGACCCGACAGAGCTGCGCGTGCTAGATCGCAATAGCACCAGAGCCACCAACCTGGCGGCCTACTGGCGGGAAAACTTGGAGCAACCGGTTCAATTCAACTCCGCCCTGGCGACACTGGCTGCCGGAGGAAAGCGACACCTGATAGAGATTGGCCCTCATTCGACGCTGAAAGGGCCGATACAGCAAATCCGGGCAGCAATGGGGCTTGATCAGAGTTCACTTCCTTATTCCGCTACGCTGGTACGGAAGGTCGATGCCGACGTGAGTCTGAAGCAATTGGCTGGCACTTTGTATGCCGCTGGCCACGCCCTCAACTGGGATAAAGTCGATGGTCTGCCGCGGTCTGGCTTGGAGGCCGTGCATTCACTTCCGCCTTACCAGTGGGACTATTCGAGCGGTCTTCGCTGGAGCGAGCCTCGTGCCAGCGTCGAGATTCGGAACAGGAAGCATTTGCGTCACGAACTTTTGGGAACGCTGGCTCTCACCGGCAATAACATCGACTTTACCTGGCGCAACTTACTGCGGCTGAGTGAGATGCCCTGGATACAAGATCATATGCTCGAGGGGCAAGTGGTCTTCCCTGCAACGGGATACATTGCCACTGCCATTGAGGCTGTCTCGCGGATTACTGGAGTCAAAGATCGGTCGAACAAGTCTAACGTAGCCTTCCATATCCGCAACATGAATATCAGCGCTGCTCTTGTGGTTCCCGAAGAGAATGACCCCGCGGCCAAGGATCTCGAGCTTCATACCACCATGTCTCTGCGCAAGTCATCAACGGCAAACACATCCGCTTATTGGTATGATTTTTCTATCACATCCTGGGCTGCAGGGCAGACCACAGTTCACTGCACCGGAAGTATCCGTCTGGCGGAACCCAGAACTGGGGCCGGGAAGGGCAGCGTGACTGTCAAAGACGACAAAGGTTTTGAGGCTTGGGCAATGACGCGGTGGTACTCCAAATGGCGGCAGGAAGGCCTGTGCTTTGGTCCGCAGTTTCAGTCTCTGACAAGCCTCCGAACGGACAGCGCACGAACTCGAAACGAGGCTATCAGTGTTACACATTTGGATCCCCCAAACACTGAACACAAAGAGGAATACCCTGTGCACCCAATCACGCTCGATGCTTGCATCCAGGCAGCAATTTTGGGAGGCACTGCAGGACGGCTGTCCTCGCTGAAGGCATACCTCCCTGTGTTCATCGCAGATTGTCAAATCCAACCACCGCAGGAACCTCTCTCTGGCAGCGAGGTCGAAATCCACGCACGCTCGGTTGAAACGGGTTTCAATAGCCGAAAGGTTGACAGCACTTTGTGGGATGCCCGTGGGGCGCCGATTGTTGAATTCACCGACGTGCGCATGTCGCTATATACCGGCAAGAGTGGATCTCAGACCCAGCCTGAAAGCAACTCTCCTCTGGATTTGTACCTGCAGCGTCAGCCCACATTGCGGGTGCACTGGAAGCCTGACATGCTGCGACTAGCCCCAAATGCTGACAGCCACCTCCGACGTTATGTCACCAGCTTTGTGGATCGTCAGGCGCCAGATATTCAGGACGACGAGAGTCTGGGCATCATCGGTGCTCTTATCGATCTGGCCGGACATAAGTTCCCACGTATGCGTGTCTTGGAGCTCGGTGGTGATCAGCTCGGATACAAAGCTCAACAATGGTTGCAAATCCTAGATAAAGACACCGCGTTTGCGCGCTGTCGATCGTGGCATGCCGGGTCTGTCGACGAGGACGGATGTTTCACAATCCAAGACAACATTGACGGACCTTTCGAGGTCCTCATCCTTCCAGGCGTGGGTCCCCACTCTCCTCCAAATCATAAACTTACATTGTGGCTGACCGCTATTATCTGATGATTAGCTTACCAGTTCTAAACAGCAATGGATTCAAGCTGCCGAGCCGATTTTGTCGTCACTCTCTGACCAGGGAGTGATCATAACGAGGATTTCGGACGAGGCGGTGGAAGCATTGGCGAAGGCAGGGTTCACCCTGTTTGATGTTGGGAAGCGAATTCTGTTCGCGACGCGTCCAGCTGCGACGAGCAATCTCAAGGGCCGTAATGGATTCATCGTGGTAAGTTTGTGATGGTTCGCCCTCTTAGCTGATGATGTACTGATAGTCCGCCAGATTCCGCAAAACCCAGCCCCAGCAGTGACTAGCTTTGCCAACAGCCTATCTGAGTTTCTCACGACCAAGGCTACCCTTAGTGCCGTGAAAGTCGTCCCGATCGACCAAATTCAGACTGTAGGGCTCACCGAAAAGGATATCTGCGTGTCGTTGTTGGAAGCCACGCGAGAATACCTGGCCACGATGAGCCCGCAGCAGATGGACTGGCTGCGTGTCATGACTGATGTGGCGACCGATCTTTTATGGGTGACCGGGGCCAACATGCTCAGCAGTCAGCCCGACCCCAACCTAACCCTAGCCAACGGTCTGTCGCGCGCGTTGATGCTCGAACAGCCGGCTCTACGGTACTCTGTCCTCGACCTCGGATCTTTCCAGTCGCTGGAGTCCCTTGATCACGTTGAACGGGCCTGTGAGAACGTCGTGCAGGCCCTAGTCACCCGTCAGACTGCCGACGATTGTGAGTTCATTCAAGTCGATGGTCTTCTCTACGTCAGCCGCTTTGGGCCAGACTTCGGCGTCAATGCGGCATTCCGGCGGCGACTGGACCCGGAAGCTCCGATAGCGAAGGAGACTTTGGAAGCTGCCAAGCCAGCACAGCTCTCTATTGGCCGTGCGGGAGTGATGGACTCTATGCATTTCCAACAGCTGGCGCCCGAAACCACCCCTCCTGCCGCGGGCTACGTCGATATCGCCGTCAAAGCTGTCGGCTTGAATGCCAAGGACGTATATGCCATCAACGGTCGTGTTGACACCCGGGATAAGACGACAGCACTTGATTTCGCAGGTGTCATCACGGCAGTTGGGCCTGATGTGCGACACCTCAAGGTGGGTGATCGCGCTGTGGCATGGATGCCCAGTCATTTCCGAACAACCGAGCGTGTGCCCGCAGGCGCCGTCCACCGGCTACTCGACCACGAGGAACTTACTGTAGTTCCCACGCTATTGACCGTCTATGGCACGGCCTTGTACGCATTGCATGACCGCGCGCATATCCGTGCGGGTGAATCCATTTTGATTCATGCCGGCTCCGGGGGGGTTGGCATTGCAGCCATCACGCTGGCCCAACAGCTCGGCGCCATCGTTTATACCACGGTTGGCTCGCCCGCAAAGCGGGACTACCTCATCCGCGAGTTAGGAGTGCCAGCCTCTCATATCTTCAATTCGCGAGATGGGTCGTTCGTTCCTGCCATCAGGGAAGCCACTGGAGGCCGGGGAGTAGACATCGTGCTTAATTCGTTGGTAGGAGATCTCATGCACGAGAGTTGGGACTGTCTCGCTGAGTTCGGTCGCTTTGTCGAAATCGGCAAGCGGGAACTTCTCGACGCTGGCAAATTGGATATGCGCGTTTTCCTCCGCAACGTCACCTTTACAGCCTTCGATTTGTCGGAACTCTTCTACGCCAAAGATTCATGGAACCGATCCATCTGGGATCGTCTCATGGCCGAAACGATGACGTTGTACCGTGAAGGAAAGATCCAGCCTCCTCCATTGAAAGTCTTTGATATCACCGAGGTGGCGCAAGCATACCGTTTCTTTGCGAATAAAGACCGTGTCGGTAAGGTGGTCATTTCGATGGAAAATGCTAAAGCTCGTGTTCCAGTAAGTAAACGCAGACACAGTCAATGGGAAAAAGAAAAACACTATTCAAGCAAATTCACTAATGCACGATTCAGGTCATGCCCACTCTATACCGAACCACGTTTGATTCCGACAAGGTTTATCTTCTCATCGGCTGTCTAGGGGGTTTGGGTCGCAGTCTGAGTCGCTGGATGATGACGCGAGGAGCGCGACATTTTGTCTTCCTCGGTCGCTCCGGCTTGGACCGAAGCAGTGCTCAACAGCTGGTCTCACGTCTCGAAGGGGCCGGGGCGCAGGTGGCGGTGGTGCGAGGAGACGTCAGCAAAGCTGCCGATGTCCAAGCCGCAGTGGCCGCTTGTGTAGCTCTGGGACGTCCCATCGGCGGCGTGGTGCAGGCGGCCATGGGCCTACACGAGGCTCTGTTCACACGCATGCCCAACGAGGCCTGGCATACCGGTATCGATCCGAAATGGCAAGGCACCTGGAACCTGCATAATGCATTGGAAGGCCACGACGACCAGCTTGACTTCTTCCTGCTCACCTCTTCGGTTTCCGGCACCGTTGGTACGGCTACGGAGAGCAACTATTGCTCCGCCAATGGCTTCCTGGATGCCTTTGCCCGGTGGCGTCGCTCGCAGGGCAAATGTGCGGTCGCCGTTGGGCTGGGCATGATCTCCGAGGTGGGATATTTGCATGAAAACCCCGACATCGAGGCACTCCTCCTGCGCAAGGGCATTCAGCCGCTCAACGAGGAGGAGTTCCTGCAGGTGCTCGACCTTGCCCTCGAGAGCGAGGCCGCGCATAAGCTGGATGAAGCCCATATGCTCACCGGGCTGGAACCGGCGGGCGTGCGCGAACTCAGCGCCCGCGGGTTCGACGTGACGAGTCATGGAGTGTTGGTGGAAGCGCGCGCGGGCATTCTCTCGGCTGCGCTGCTGGCGGAGCAAGAGGTGCGCGCTGGGGGCTCGGGCGAGGCTCGGGGATCCGATCGCCAAGTGGTGACTTCGGCAGCCCCCTGGTTCAAAGAGCTTCCGTCAACCATGACGGGGACCTTTGCGTCCGAGGCAGATGCCGAGAGCCTGCTGGTTGCCATCGTCCGACTTTTGAAAAAGCGGTTCGCCAATCTGATTTTGATGCCCTTGGATCAGATTGATGATCAGAAGCCTTTGCCCGAATTTGGGGTAGACAGCATGATTGCTTCGGAGTTCCGGACTTGGTTCTGGACGGTTTTCCGGGTCGATATCCCATTCCTTGATATCATGAGTGTGAGGAAGAACCTGAGTCTGTTGGCTCAGTTTGTGGAAACAAAGCTACCACAGAACTGAGCGGCAGAGCATGAGTATGCTGGATGTCGGGCTGGGTTGAATCACATTGTTGTATGGAGTGGAGTGGAGTGGAGTAGAGTGGAGTACATTGTTGTAGATTACATTGCTCTTAGCCAGATGTTTCGGTAGGAAAGAACAGGACCGTCCTGCCGTTTTTCACCGCCTGCCTTTATCTATTCTGATATATCGGACTCAATTCCTACGCAACCTTAGTCAACTTAAGAATGTTTCCTTTCTACTTCAGGGCCAAATTAGTACCGCTTTTCAACTTACTAAAACAGCCTAGAATACAAAGAAGTATACTTTCTAAATCAAGTATGTAAACTCCGACTATAGCCTAAGTTCCACCGCTCCATGAGTCATCGTCATCACTATGGCATGTGTTATGGAATCCCTTCAACACTTGAACACCTTCCCAAGTTCTCTCATCCAGTACACAAATCCAAACCGTTATCCATAGAACCAAACCCTCCCCTCACAGCAGTGTAATCTACAATTCCAGAATGCCACCCAGCAATCCATCCGCCCCCTTAGAAATTCAATACGCCCAAGCATCAAACCTCGGCACCCTCGTGGACATCGAGATCCGCTCGTTCCCATCCTCCAATTACATGCGCAGCACGTACAAGGGCTGCGATCCGCGGGCCGTCCACACCTTCAAGACCGTCTCCGCCCTCGAGTACTTCGCCAAACCCGAGTGCCATCTCCTGGCGGGGGTCTTGGGGGGTGATGACAACATCGCGTACGGCCGGTGGCATATCCCAGCGATTTATGGGTTCGAACGAGCCGTGGACACTACTTTGAGCAGCGATGCGCAGGCGCAGGTGCGGGATACGTGGGCGTACGCCCCGGAGTTGAATCGGGGGACCTACTCGTTTTACGAGGAGATGGTACAGCGGAGTCGGGGTCGGCATCTCCGGAAGACTGATTTTGGTTCGTGCACCTATTTCGCCACTCTACGTGAACATCTAAGGGTTTCAGCGTCAATTTATGATGCGGCTGATTGTGAAGAGTGAACCATATTGACTGCTAGGCATACGGCTAGTCCTGGAGCTACTGTGCGTCCTACCGGAGTACCAACGGATGGGAGTTGGCAGTGCGTTTCTCGAATGGGGCATCGAGAGAGCAGACGCCTGTAACGCCCGGATCTATCTGGAGGCGACGATGGAAGGGGTGCCCGCGTATTTGAAGCACGGGTGGAGGGTCGTCGAGGAGGTACGGCTGGATTACACGGAGCGTGGTGGAGAGGGGAGTCAGAGGTTCGCGTTGATGATCCGGGAGCCTGGGGGTGTGGGTTTGCGTGAATGAGAATCGCTTTACACAAAATATACCTACTGTTCGATCATGATCCTGTTTACACGTCCTACAGAACCTACTTTTACATATTCTACGTAACCCGTCCTAGTCCTTTCAGTCTGTAAATGACATTCTCTTTATTCACCTGTTATCAGAACTCTGCAGCTATTGCACTGTATCGTTGTATCATGGAATATCTGAACCCTCTAAGCTGATCCCCTCACCCCCATCCGAGTGTATGTCCCTTAACTCTATCCACAGTCCATAAATGCATCCTCCCGAATCACCCACTTACAATACACCTCCCAAACATCCCCAAATCTACTCCTCCAACCCAGCACCCACCTTCTCCCCTCTCCACCCCAACCACGCCACAGTAATCAACGCCTTCAACCCGACCGCCGTCCACAACGCCCCCTCCAAGCCAGCCTCACTCCTCGCCCACGCCGCCCCGATCACCACCCCGACCAACAACCCGACCACCGCCCCGACGCGCCTCCACACATCGGGACTCCTGACCACCGCCCCCAGCCGCTGCGCCTGCAACACCGGCGCGGAGAACAGATCACAGTAGATACTGGTCAACACGACGGACGTCAACGCCGCGAACCCCAGCGCGCGACTGGCGACCGCCTGCCCGCTACTCTGCAGCGCCACGAGCGCCAACGGCACGGCGACCGTCCACTCCAGCCCCCCCTCCCCTTCCTTCTTCCCATCTGCCCGATACACGCGGGTAATCGTCGCCGCGCCGGCGATACACAGCGCCTGGAGCGCGAACGACCCCGCCAACGCGCCGCGGGCTCTCGGGCTGCGGGCGTGGCGGTGGATTCCGGCAAAAAGCACGCTGCCCGTGCAGAAGCTCCCGATCGAGAGGAGCGATTTCTGCCACCGCGTCGTGCCGTCCAGGCCGGCCAGGCCGAGCCCCGCGTACACGGTGTTGCCCGTTTGCATGGACACGAAGGAGCCCCAGATGAAGACGGCTGTGGAGTCTAACAGGCCGGTGATTGTGTAGCTGGTTAGCAGGAGGAGGTCGGTCCAGCGCTGCGAGACCGGGGTCGTGAGGTGCGTGTGCAGGCGGCTGAGCCGTGTTGCTGGGGGGGTGGTGGTGGTGGTGGTTGTTGGAGTGGTGGTGGTGTTGCGGGTGTTGCGAGTGCCGCCTAGGAGGGGATCGCGTTCGTGCGCCGGGAATTCTTGGTAGGGCATTGTGGTTGGTTCTTGCGGCATTGGCGGAGGGACGGGAGGTTCGGGTGCTGTGGTGGTGGTGGTGGTGGTGGTGGTGGTGGTAGGTGTACTGGGTGTTCGCAGAGGACGGAAGCTGGGGCCTGATGGTGGTCAGTGTTCCTGCCGGGTTAAGGTGGGAAGGGAAGAGGAAGGCAATCCACTTGCCGGAAGCCTGGAATTGAGATCGGGCGATGATATCAGATTCAGGGGTTTTGTCGAGATTGGTGACACCTTGGAACATAGAATTATTTGTAGTGCAGCCAGACGCGCTGCGTCACGCTTCGTTGACGTCGCGATGATCCTCTGACGTCTGTGCTCCGCCCTATAGGGCTGGACAGTACTTGATATGCCTCTAATTCTGTAAGTTGAGCTTGGCTTGCTGGGCCGTCCGGGCTTAAACTGGTTCAAGCGTACGCTGGCGTGCCGAGGAGTTCCGAGCAAGCAAAGACAAAACACATGGACCGACCAGAGCCACGGCGTCCGCCTGTCGTGCTGCCCCACCCTCCCGAAGGGGTCCTGCACACTGCAGCTCCAGGCTCGGAGAAAAGAAATCAATGCTGGTTTGAGTGCTTTTGTCAATTGATGAAGACATTTACAATAGTAAGACCTAGAGACTAGTGACCCCTGATTGATGGAAAGAGTGACAGCATATACAACTAGAAGTGAAGGGTGCTTCAAGAAACAAGTACGATATAGTATACATGTGCCTGATGGCAGCGATGGTATTTACAAGGCTCGGGTGAGCCTAGCGTGCGTGGCATGCGAGGGTGGCCCATCGCTATTTGGAGAACAGCCGTTGGAACCAGCTCATCTCTTCCCGCCTCTTCTTCTCCTTCGCGTTCTTAATGCTTGCCCAGATGATTCCCGTGAGATAACCACCAATGTGCGCCCAATGGTCGAGGGCAGGGGCGCGGAAGGTCATCGCCAGACGGACGACTTCAGCAGCGACGATGGTGGAAAGGATAAACCACCCACGGGCTGATACCACGCTTTGCCATTCTTCGGGGAGAAGGTAGAAGGTGAGATTGTCGCTGTAGAGAACATGATTAGTGAGATGGTTCGTCAGACGAACAAGAAAGAGATGCTTACTTCGCGTGAAGTATACACCAGCCTGCGACAATTCCAGAAATCGCTCCACTGGCTCCAAGAGCGGTGACAGTCCACTGGCCCAGAAGAACATGCGCTGACAGAGAAAGGAGGGATCCGACGACACCGGATGCCATGTACAAGCTCAAGAACTCGCCCCGACCGACCTCATCGTGGACTAAATAAATAAAGGTTAGTTCACCAGAATTGTGACGGGTAGGCCAAGGGACTCACGTCGTGTGCCAACGAACCAAAGCATTACCATGTTGACACTCAAATGCAAGGGCTTCTGGTGGCTGAAGACATTGCCAACAATGCTAAATGGACGAGGATAGGCGGCAACACTGATGAAGTAGCGGTTGAGCAGTCTCCAGGATGGCGGCCATGCCCGCCATAGAACAAATATTCCGACGTTGATGCCAATGATACCCATTAAAGTGGCAGCAGCGCGAGGAGTGTCTGGCCACAGCCGATCTGCTCGCGCGGGAGGTTCATAAAACACGGCAAAGGCATAGCAAAGACCCAGGGCAATCAGACTAAAGATGAGCGAAGGCACGATCCGGCGACTCTAATCGCATTGTCAGACCACATCCCATTAATCCTCACAGGGATGATGAACGTACCGTCGTCATGTTCGTCACGTCAATGTCCGTCTCCATAGCACGAAGGTGGTGCTTCTGAACCCAGGCAAGAAGAGGGCGCTCGCGAGGATCCGCGCGCTCACGGACTATTTAGCAGTCAGATCCTAGCAATCCTCTTGATAGTGTCACAAATATAGCTTTACCTTCTAAAGCGGAGGTATCTTCAAACTTCTGCAGGGCAGTGTTCCGTTCCCTCATGCGCTTGTACTTCTCCTGATCCTGCGCCGCACCCTCCAACCACTCCTTGCGTTTTTGCTCGTCTTCGGCCAGAAGTCTCTCTTCATTATGCTTCCGCATCTCCTGGAAAACACTCTTCCCGGAGACGTCCTTGTTCTCGCCCAGCTCCGCTCCGAACTGGCCGCTCTGGGGCTTATAGAGACCCAACTCCTCGGCCCGCTTGATGAGCTTCTGTTCTTCTTCCAGCTCCTCCCGCTCAATGCGGGCCATAATGGCCGCATCCTCGTCCACGGGGTAATGTTCGCGAAGGTAACCGAGGGCTGCGTCGAGACTGTGCGGGCGCACCGAGCAACTGATGTCGACGGGGAGATCCAGGTCCAGGGTACCATTGAGTCGTCGGCCGTGGAGCACGGCGAGGACCCGGTTGCCCATGGACGGGGAGACCTTCGCACGGGCTCCAAAGATGGCATTGATGTCGGCGTGCGAGAAGGGTTCTGCGCGAGGCTTCACCCCATGGTCCACGGCAGGAGGCTTGCTGGAGCGGAGCGGAGCGGAGGTCTGGAACGAACGAGTGGGGACCGGAGAGAAGACGAGCGAGTTTCGACTGTGGCGGAATGTGGAGGCATCACGGAGAGAGCCGAAGGAGCGCGCGGAGAAGATGTTTCTGTGGCGTGAGCTCGAAGGCCGAAGGGAAGAGGTGAGATAACTGGCGAGGGGGAGCGCCTTCGGGCTGACGGAGGGAAAGAGGCTCGAGGCCCTCAGCCCCGGGCATGGAGCGCGCCATGCTATGCCCAAGACATTGCTCATAGCGAGCGACAGTGATCGGAGACCGTGCTACCACAATGCAAGTAAATGACGCGGGCTGACAATGCAATGGGCAAGTAGAAATTCCAAGGAAGCTGGGATCGGTCGATTTTCTCCGGCCGCCGGAAGTTGTTCCGATTGATTCTTGGGTAACGTGCGCTGAAGACGTGAACAGATGAGGACCACAAGAAAACGCTGGAGACAATCACAGCAAAACGCAGTCTGCTCACAATATGAATTCCGAGACTTGAAGATCTTCTTCCTCCAATTCCCCAAACTCTGCTCCAACAAACAGCACCACACCTTTGCTATACAGTAACGCCAAACGCTATCGCAATATAGTCACGTGGTGATAACCCACGGTCTCATCAGTCGCAACGGGGATTAGAACAGACAACCAACTGCCAGCACGCAGAACAAACAAAGCACCTCTTTCCCGAGATCATCAACTCTACCCGAAATCTACCTTGCGACACCAGACCACCCCAGTGACGCAGACAACACATCTACAATCATGTCCGGCGAGTCCCTCCCGATCTCTCCGGCCGCCTTCGCCGAAGCCATCCAAGAGCTACCCCTCCCCGTCCTCTACGCCAAGGTCTCCGAGATCCGCAATTCGATCGCCCACCTGCATCGCTCGAACGCAGAGCTGCAGACCTTCATCGACGAGTCGTGTGAGAGCGATACAGAAAAGCGAGAGCTGGAGAGCTATATCACAGAGAATAAAGATGTGCTCACATCGATGATGGAAAGGGTCACGCTACTCAAAACGGAGGTCGAGAATCGCGGACAACAGTGGATCGAGCTGGACGAGGTCAAGGAGACAAACGGCGATACGCATGAGGCCTCTACGCATCCAAGTCAGCCAAATTCCGCCTCGACGAGGGAAAATGCTTCCGGAGACACACCGGATGGGGGACAAGACGAGGAAGAGGAAGGTGTTTATTTGTAGGGGATCGGATTTTGCAGCTCTCACCGTGGATACTCTCACTCGAAGGTGTCGAGGTCTTTGTTGAGCAGGAGTTTCTTAAAATGATTGATTGTCCCATAGACTTGTATACCCAGGACATAGTCATTTTCAACAGTGCTGCTATCCAGTCAGGCCATATGTACTGTACTTCTGTAGCTGAATCTATATCACTGAGACCAAATCTGTGACAGGTACCCACAGAGTATCTAGTGCTACGGTATGCCTGGAGGTAAAGCTCAATCACCAAGCAGTTATCCATCACATTCGGTGCACTTGATTATCCCAAATGAAAGTACTCGAGCGGGGAGATAGCTGCAGTGCAAACACAGCAAACCCATCACGTGCTCTGCCGCCCAGTGCGTCGTCATAGGCAGGCTTCTAGATCCCATTTCGTGGATGATGTCCGCCTGATCCCCGGCGCGTCGGAGGACAGTACATATACCCCTCTGTACATACTGTCCTTGTATTTGAATGGCAGTAACCACTCCTGCTCGTCGCTCGACGCGGCGGACCCAGAGTGCTCGAAACCAGCGTCATGCGTCGACTGAAGATCAGCGCATCCCCCAGGTATACAGGGAAATGCTGGCCGAGGCCGAGGCGCGAGAGCCTCAGCTCCTCGATGATGACCGCATACCAAAGAGACGCAAAATGGCAGGACGAACGCATATACCCAGTGCTCATATAGAACTTCCAAAAGCTCCGACACCAGTCGATAATGATGAGACCACCAGCCGGCAGGTCCAGACGGTGTATGACTCGCCCTCATCCTCGTCCGAAGAGTCGGACATGGAATGGGAAGACATCAACTTGCAGCCCGCAGTCTCCGAAGCGCTGTCAGATGACTCGTCGATCCAGATTACGTTGGGCCGACCGCATGACCGTGAGAGACAGAAAAGAGCACTTAGACGGCAGCCGATAACGGCCGCAGAGAAGCGGTTGAGACTTGACATCCACAAAGTCCATCTTCTCTGCCTGTTACGCCATGTACAGATTCGTAATAGATGGTGCAATGATGATGAGCTTCAGGTATGTGTGCGTTCTGCCATCATTGACATCGATGGCAATCGCACGCGAGAATAGCTTATAACAGCTCTCCAGCTCTAACCATCATACTAGGGCGCGCTTAAAAGAATGATATCGAAGCAGGTGATATCTTTACTGCACCCACCCGAGAGTAAACCAGAGCATTACAGGTCTACAACGTTCATAGACGGCCTGAACCAACTCAGTGACGCATTTAGTAAACGATTCAGAGTAACAAAGCCCGGTCTCAAGCGACCACATTGGGCTCAGGGCCCGGATGCTCTAAAGACAAGAGTGGTATTACATTACTCACCTCTTTCAAAAAATAACCGTACCCCAATTGACCCTGTATTAGGAAGCGATCCTCTCCAATGCCGAAGTTTTCACGTCGCTCGAAGACTTCAAGCAACAAGCGAAAACCCTGCAAGGATCTCGTGATTTCGGCGCACAACTGTTCTGTGCTTTGTTGCGATCTGCAGCCGTGGAGGCCAGACTGGTGTGCTCACTGCAGCCTCTGCCCTTCTCGGGCGTGACCAAGGAAATCACCTCGACCGTGCCTACGGGCAAGACATTTTTCATGGCTGCAGACAATTCAGAAAAGTCCTCGGACGATTCAACACGGCCCAAGTCACGATCAAGTGTGCAGCGACTCACCCGGCCAGGGTTCAAACCATCACGTCCGTCATCCACGCCCAGAGAAAGTAGGCCAGCATCTTCCCTTCCTTCCGATCGAAATGATAACGTGTTAATCTCTACATCAAGTACCATACTCTCGAAATCAAGAGTCCTCCTACCCGGTGTTCTGGGTGGAAGCGTTCAACGAGGCAGTCAGCAAATGGATCCCCATCGATCCATTAGTCACGAGATCCCTCGCGAAGCCGTCCAAATTCGAGCCTCCTGCCACCGACCCGAACAATCTTCTAAGCTACGTGGTTGCATTCGAGGATGATGCCTCTGCTCGAGATGTGACCCGCCGTTACAGCAAGGCTTTCAATGCGAAAACTCGCAAGTTCCGTGTCGAGTCCACCACCCGCAACGCAGGATGGTGGGATCGCGCACTTCAGGTCTACGAGAAACCGTTCCTCGAAGATCGCGACCAGCTAGAGGTCAGTGAACTCACGGCCAAGACCGCCGCCGAGCCCATGCCTCGAAACATCCAGGACTTCAAGGACCACCCTGTCTACGCGCTGGAGCGCCACCTACGACGGAGCGAGGTCATTCACCCGAAGCGAGCGATAGGTCAGGTCAGCCTCGGCAAACCGGGGTCCAAGAGCCAGGCCTTAGAGCCGGTGTACCGCCGGTCGGACGTCCAGACTGTGCGCAGCGCCGACAAATGGTACCGGCTGGGCCGCGACATCAAGACGGGCGAGCAGCCGTTGAAGCGTGTCAAGGCCCGCAATTCTGTGGTTAGCGGACTGCCCGAGGATGACGAGGAGCGCGATGCGCCCCCGGAGACCCCTCTCTACGCGATCTTCCAGACTCAGGTCTACGTTCCGCCACCCGTGGTGGACGGCCGAGTTCCCAAGAACGTCTACGGGAATTTAGATGTCTACGTACCCAGCATGGTCCCGGTCGGTGGGATCCACATCGGCCACCCGGATGCCGCGCGTGCGGCTAGACTGCTTGGGCTTGACTTCGCGGCGGCTGTGACCGGCTTTACCTTTCAGGGACGCCACGGGACTGCGGTCTATACCGGTGTGGTTGTCGCGGAGGAATACCGCGAGGCGCTTCAGGCGGTCATCGACGGTCTCGAGCAAGAAAGACTGCATGACGAGCTGGAAACGCGGACTGCAGAGGTGCTGAGAGCGTGGAAGCATCTACTTTTGAAGCTTCGCATCGCGGAGCGGGTCAAAGGCTATGCGATTGAGGGGGATGATTTCGATGAGGGGGCGGGTGTTGGACCGAGTGAGGATGATGGGCCTGTGGACGACGACATGGGAGGAGGATTCATTCCTGAATCGGATGGGGAGGCACCGGGAGGTGGTGGGTTCATACCTGAGCCGGACACGGAGATAGGAGGGGGAGGCTTTCTACCCGAGTCAGACATGGAGACAGCAGAACCGTCGATGGGAGGGGGAGGCTTCATTCCCGAATCAGATGCGGAGGCACCGGGAGGTGGTGGGTTCATACCGGAGCCAGACACAGAAACACCAGACCCTTCAATGACAGGAGGCGGCTTCCTCCCAGAGTCACCGTCACAAGGTCCCATGGACCTGTACGATGATCCACCTACAAGTCGCAATGCTAGCAAATATACTGCACCTGCAGCCCCCCATCCACAGACCGTGACCGCGGGATCCGACCCAGCTGCACATCAACGTCAAGACACATCCCCGCACCCAAACCCAGCCAGACCACCGCGGTACTCGCTGGTCGTCGTCCCGAGGACGAAAGAAGAGCCCACCGACTCTTCGTCGTTAGATAACATCACCAGCGAAGCCTCCCCGTCTATATCACATCCTGCTCAACCCGACCGACCCGATGATAGCGCACCTCCGCAAGAATTTCTCCCCTCCGCCGCACCGGACATCAGCAACGCATCATCTCCAGCCGAGAACCCTTCAGCCGGCGCTTCTGACCCACAAACCCCCAAATCCGAAGCCTCTGATCCCTCCTCATGCAGGGATAGCGAGACATCGTTACTATCGCAGGATCCGGACGACGAGGACGCGATTCCGGAGTGGCTCATGTCGGATTAGTCGATATGTTTGGATTCTGGACAAGCGCTCATAGAACCCTCCGCATCGTCATGTTCACAGAGCCGGAATCAATAGGTGTAGAGATATAACGTCAACGATATGAGTACATGAATGCATGAATCCTGTCATTTTGACCACACCGGCCTTTTTCTACTGCCCAGCATTAGCAATTCAATTCCGAACTGGATGTATTCTACCTTGGTTCCGGAGGATAAGTCCATCAAATGGTCAGGTCAGATCTACGCTGTAATGGGGTCGGTCCATTGTCCTTTCTGGATCCGATCGACAAACTCAATAGACTAGACATCCATGCCCCAGCCACCCAGTCTCTCGATTTATGGACCATAACCGGATCCCAGCGGACAAATCTTCTCCCCTTCAGACTACCGCGTTCATGTAGATTGGTGCTAAGACCTAGGCCTGACTAGAGCTAGAGTGCGCCCGCTTCCCTGCCTCGAATCAAACACACGGTGCTGTAGACCCATGCGAGGAGGACCCGGGGAGACGGTTCGCTTGCTTTTCGATACCTCTATAAAGCTTGGAGCTGCGGCGCCAGTGGACTAGACTAGACTCGACTCGACTCGACTTTGTGTTTCTCTGCGTCCCCCGGACTCTAGTCTCAGTCACTGCCGCACACTCTCGAGGGGCTGACTGCGCATTGGAAAATCCTACGCCATAGCCTTTCGCCCGCTCTGCGTGCGCAAAACGATGGTCTATACAGAGCTCCGACGCAGCACCAACACATATACACAAGACACTCTACTCGACTCGACTCGACTTTCCTTCCCCACCAAACGGGAATCACAACAACACATCAAATCCAAATTGAATTGGTATATATATATAAATAAGGCGACCAGTCACCTCCCTCTAATAAACCCACACCAGCAAAAACCAGCCCGACATCCAAAAACACAAGTGAAGCATATTCATTTCATTTCGTAACGGCCGCTACAGCTTCTGACCAGCGGAAGCAGCGCGGACATCCGCCTCGTCGCTCAAGATCTGGACCTTGATGGCGCCGGTGCGGGGGTTGGCGGCGGTCTCGAAGGCCTGGAGGGCGTCCTCGAGGGCGAAGCGGTGGGTGACGAGCTTGCGGAGGTTGATGACGCCGTTGCGGACGAGGCGGATGGCGCGGGGCCAGGTGTTGCAGTAGCGGTACTGGTACTGGAGGTCGATCTCCTGGGTGCTGAGGCGCATGAAGGGGATGGTCATCTCGTTCTTGCCCACGCCGATCACGAACACCTTGCCGCCGAACTTGACGCTCCAGATCGCGGAGCACACGCTGCTCTCGACGCCGGTGCACTCGAGCGCGATGCGCGGGCGGAGGGTGGTGGGGCTGTCGATGTCGAAGTTCGTATCTGCGTCGTTGAAGACGCGGATCACGCCGGCGGCGTTTTCTTCAGCGGACTTGGTGGTCTGGACTTGGTAGGTGCGCACGCCGGGCACGAGGGCCTGCGCGAACTGCAGCCGGCTGGCGTCGATGTCCGTGATGACGAGGGGCGTGGCGCCCGCGGCGTGCGCGCTCAGCAGCGTGATCAGCCCGATCGGCCCGGCGCCCGTGATCAGGCACGGGTCCCCGAGCCGCAGCCCGCTGCGCTCGATGGCCGCCAGCGACACGCTCAGTGGCTCGAGGAGCGCCCCGTCCTCGTAGCTCATCTCGTCCCCGATCTTGTGACACCAGATCGCCGGGTGGTTGACGTACCGCCGCAGCAGCCCGTCCACCGGCGGCGTCGACAGGAACTGCACCCGCTCGCACCCGTTGTACCGCCCCGTCAGGCACGGCTCGCACGCGTTGCAGATGATGTTCGGCTCGATCGCCACCCGGTCCCCCGGCTTCAGCGAGGTCACGTCCGGCGCGACCGCGATGACTTGCCCCGCGGATTCGTGGCCCAGGATGTGGTCGCCCGTCACGATCATCGGGCCGATGCAGCCGGCGTGCCAGAAGTGGACGTCGGAGCTGGTGGTGGGGGTGGCATCGATGTTAGTTGGGTCGAATGGTTGGAACGAGGGTGGGAAAGGAGCTGGGAACAGGAGGGGTCTTGGAGGCAAAGAATGGAAACATACCCGCAAATGCCGGTGCTGCGGACTTGGATCGTGACCTCCCCGGGCCGCAGACTCTCGCCGCTCTTCACCTCCTCCAGCGTGGGCTTGGATTCCGCGACCCACAGGTCATGCTTGGTGTTGGTGTAGACACCGATGTTGGGCTTCTCGAGCGTTGTGACAGTAGTTGCGGTGGCCATGGTGCCGTGAAGACGAGGCGATTGGGAGGGAGGGTGGAGGAAGAAAGCAACAAGGAGGAGGAGAAGAAGACGTCAAAGATAGGTTGAGAACGATGGCAAAGGAGCGGCGCAGGAAAGCTTTAATAGTCACGCTCGGCAGGGCTTGAGCCCCTCCATGCAGTGATCAGCAACTGCGCTGGACTTCAAGGTTCAATTCAGATGGAGAATAATGAAGTATGGATGGGACACAAGTTGCCACCAATAACCATTTACCCGGGCGTTCCCCGCCCAGCGGGGTTCGTTTTGTTCCGTACCTGTGCTCCTACTCTTCCTCTTCCTATACTATGTATGGATGTGGCTATAGGGACCTATTTCAGTCACACGGACAAGCTTAAAGGGATGGTTGTCTCAGCCCAATTAAGCCTGGGGGGATTGCATGCAACCTGCTCGGTTAAATCATTCGCTTCTAATATCACCAATTGAGGGTATAGGGGATTGGATTCCACCCATGCCGCGGTTACAACTTCAGAATGCGACCCTAAAGGGATTCTAGAAGTTGGCCACTTTGGCAGTGTGGGGTTGCTGACCATGGAGGAACAACAACTTGATGCCCCACCATGACAAAACGGCAATTCTCCGGTGGCACCCGGAGGATTACTTGTAGATAAACGATACCACCATCAATAAGGTAATGCATGATATTATCTTAACTATCCATTGTTGTCCACATGACCCAACCAGACAATCACTCCTCCAGGCTTGCTCTTCCCACCCGGTTATTCAAATCGGCCTATTGAAGCAGAGATCTATTGTACTTCTTCGTCTCTAATCTACTGTACAGGATGCGCCAACCCCAACCCCAAAAGAAGAGCGGACACTGATCCCCGTCGACTGACTGATCTAAGTTACCCTCAAACAACACCACCACCATCACAATCGCAAAATCCCACTCTCCCGATCCACCCCACCCCTGAAGTGATCCGCCAGCACCCGCCCGCCCAGAATCGTCTCCTCCACCACGCCCGGCACATGCTTGGGCTCAATGCGCCCATACCAGATCCCCTTCCCGGCCAGCGGATGCGGCACGGCCGACGATGCGTCCTTCCCGACGACCGTCATCCCCGGCGGGAGATACACAATGACGTTCCCGGCGTACTTGTGCCCGCCGATGTGACTGATCAGCCCGACATGCGCCCGGTCGGGGCGGTCCACCACCGGTGCGTCGTCGCCGTCCTCGGCGCCAGTCGCGAACCCGTTCTCGCGCAGCACGCGCTGGAACTCCGTCTCCAGGACGGGCGCCATCACGCCGCAGCGCATGTCGCGCCCGCCGTGCCCGCAGATGAGCACCACGGGCGAGTGCCGCAGGTCCACGGCGGCCGGGAGGGTTGACGCGAGTTCCGGGCGGCGGCTGGGCCCGCCGTGTCGCGCTTTGGGGGGGAGGAGGTGTGCTTCGACGAAGGTGGAGAGGTCGTCGGTGTTCTCCGAGGATGGCTGGGTCGGGATCGAGGGGAAGTATTTGAAGCTGGGGAAGAGGAAGGCGGAGGCGGCTGGGGACGTCGGCGACGACGGCGCGAATGAGGAATTCGTGATGAGGATGTTATGGTATGGCTGTGCGAGGCATTGCAGATGTCAGTGGCTGTTCTTTGGAAAGTTTGTAGCGCTGGGGCGAGCGGATTGGCTTCCGCACAACAGTAGTCAAGGCAGGGCACCACTTACGTCGGCGAATCGCCCGCCGCGTCCGAGTAGAGCCTTCAGACCCCGCACGAGATCCCCCCAGCTGTGTCCCTCACCATCATCCTCTATGCGGCTCGTCCAGTCCCGCTGGCCGGTGCACACAAGAAGCTGCTCTGCGTAGGCCGCCATCGTGCCATTGAGAGCCTGGTGGTGGTCGATCGGGGCGGGCAGATCGGGGGTGGGGGGACATGCGCAGCTGGGCTCCGGGCATGACTTGGTCACCGGGAATGGCGGGGGGATGTGAAGGGGAATGCGCCCATGTCGGGTTAGTACTGTAGTCGACGACGAGAAGAGCCGCGCGCCGGCTGCGAGCGTGGAGCTGTGCTTCTGGGGGAGTCTGGGAAATCGGCAGCTCCAGACTGCGAGATCGATTATTTGTCGTGACCTTGCCATGTCCGCGGAGCCCACAGAAGGGTGGGGATGCTGGAGCTCTCAGAGAACGAGATCAGGTTGAGTCCAGCGAAGGGCTGTAGGACTCCTAGGTTCTGTAAGTGGGAGAAAACCTGAATCGAGTTATCGTCGCATGAATGCCAGAAACTCGCTCGGCATATTCGGAGACTTCGGAGATAACAATCGATGATGAATAATCCGGTAATGATGGCAGGCCCGCTCGCTCCTTATCTTATCAGTCAGAGAACCACCCCTCCCTCCATTTGTACTGCCCTCAAGGCTCCGCATCAATTAAAGCCCCATTATACTCGACATTCCATGATACTACAAGGCTGGATTCAATAGAAGATCATAAATAAAGTCTATAGTACAGATTTAAACGAGCTAATGCTAAATATGGCAGATGAAAGCGACCCAGCTGATAGTATATACAAGAACTTGCTTCAACGCAGATGCACCAACATCTGCCGATGATCTAATGATGACCTCGACGCTCACTACCTAGAGCGCGTACAAAACTCTATGTTTGATGATCAAATGCACAGGACAGGTCTAGCCCATGATGCTGTCCCACAGTCTTCTGCCCCATCCATCCTTGGGGTTGGAGGTTTCCCAGTTGGTGAACTGCGGTCTGCCAGTGTCAAGATCCGCCTCCAGAGGGCGGACAAACGAGGTGCGGTACCACGCCTTGTGTGCGATATACAAGACAGCGAAGAGGACCGGGCAGATATAGGCAACCCAGAAGTCGGAAACGTTGAAGTGAGGAATCCAGGCAGTGAATCCCTGGGTGAAGGTAATAAGGAGATTGAAGAACAACCCGTACCACGCCAGATAAGGCTGACCCCAGGACTTGTAAGGCAGGGTCTCGCGGGAGATATCACGAGCAGCCATCGCCTTCATGAAGGCGATGTGGCTAGCGTTGATGGACGTCCAGCAAATGAATCCAGCCACACTGGAAATGTTCACCAGCCAGTTGAAAACCGTGGTTCCGGAGCTCGACACGTTCATGAATCCTAGAAGACCGAAGAGGGCAGTGAAAGCAACGCTGACATACGGCACACCACGCTGCGTGACCCAGCCGAAGCAGGAGGGCGCGAAACCTTCCTGGGCCAATCCAAGGAGAACACGGCTACCACTGTACACATTGGAGTTGGCGGCAGAGAGAACGACGGTCAGAAGGACCGCATTGATCAGACTGGGAAGAACCTTGACACCGGCCAGGTTGGCGGCAATAACCATAGGCGAGGCGGACGCGTTGCCGGAATCGCTAGCAAGGTTGGGGTTATCGTAAGGCACCAACAATCCGATGAAGAAAATGGTCAAGACGAAGAAGATAAGAATGCGGATGAAGGTCTTGCGAATAGCGGAGGGAACAGTCTTCTGGGGGTTCTCGGTCTCACCAGCAGCAACACCGACAAGCTCGGTACCCTGGTAAGAGAAACCAGCCTGAATGAGCACCGCCCAGAAACCGACGAACTTCCCAACCGATAAATCGGAAGTGATCAAGTAGGGTGCAAAGGCGCCGGGGCTGTGCCAGTACTTGAAGCCCAAGTAACCCTGTCTGCCGACTCCGGCGTCAATGCAGATAGCGAAGATCATGAATCCCAAGACAGTCAACACCTTGGTCAGCGAGAACCAGAACTCCAACTCGCCGTAAAAGCCGACAGGGAGGAAGTTGATCGCTGAGATAACAACCCAAAAGACTCCGATAAAGATAGCGACGGACAGGTTCTCATCCCAATATTTGACGATCATCCCGGTAGCAGTCAATTCGACGGCGTAGGTCGACGCCCAGTTGAACCAATAAATCCAGCCCATGGCGAAACCCAAGCTCGGATCGACGAGGCGCGCGGCGTAAGAGGTGAAGGCACCGGGAACGGGGATATAGGTTGCCATCTCTCCGAGGGAGCACATAACGGAGTACACGATCGAACCGACGAAGGCGTATGCGATAAGGGCACCAGCCGGACCAGCCTCTGCCAGCGCTGTTCCACTGCTAATGAACAGACCAGTTCCAATGGTTCCTCCTACTCACCAATCAGTTCCGTAACAAGCCTGTAAGAGGGGACGGGAAAACGCACCGATAGCGATCATCTGTAGATGGCGGTTCTTCAAGTTGCGCTTCAGCTTGCCCTCGTCCTCGTGATCACTTTCAATATCCTTTCCATTTTCCTGTGCCGATCCGAAGCGGCGTCGCGACCGCAGCCCGCTGTTGCTGTCGGAGGAATTGGGGTCATCGACAACACTCTCGACGCCCAGCTTATTCGCGGGCGCGATGTTGTCCTGTTCGCCCATGTTGGCGGAGGGATCGAAAGACAGGTCCGGAGAGCAGAAATGCTACCGTATTGGAGTAGGTAGCTTGCCAACGACTTCGACCAGAGAGCTTGGGTTGCAGGAAGTGTGCGGCGTCACAGTCACAGTCACAGTCACAGTAACAGACAAGAGGCAAACGTCAGAAAGACGGGGGAGGAAGCTGGGTTAAGTGACAAATGTGGCTCTAGGCAGAGTTTTCTCCATTTTTCATTATCAAACAAAATCTGGGATGGTGCTGCTGCCACTCGGAACCAGCGCGCATCTTGCAGCCATTGGATCGGCTTTTCGTCATGTTCCATCGGTGGGAAAGGCGGGAAAGGGAAAAAACGAGAGAATTTGCCCCACTCCCTGGGCGGGCTGGAGCTCACTATTATGTAAACCTCTGGGCGAGGGGGGCGACTGTCAGTTTCAGTTTCACATGGATGGAATCATGCTTGATGAGAGAGGAAGTGAATCCTTTATTGGCGTGATTCTTTGCTCCCGAACACGACCCCCAGCGGTCAAAGTCGAATTTAAGCTCGAATTAAGCATGGTGTTCGTGAGGAGTTCATACAGACCAAATGCTTATCGATTGGGATCACGTGGGGCAGACTCGAGTTTGACCGTTAACGAGAACATCACGTGGTTGACACTCCCCGGCGGAACTCCGGTGGCGCTGTTCCGACCGGCGCTAGAAGTCTGGATGGAATCAAAAGAACCTTCCACTTTTTGGTTAGCAGTAGGCACTTTGGCAGGTGCACTTGGCATTTGTCTGTCTCGTCAAGGTGGCATCGCAAATGCGGGTCCATCAGGCACCGGGAAAATTGGTACATTAGGGCCACTGCCTCGCCCTGAGTTCAGGGCGTTGCTGTGTGCTGCTTCCATAGGAATGGCGAATTGCCCACTCAATCGACTGGCAGGATGGCCCGTAAGGAATTTGAGGAGCGCACTGTGTGCCTTCGGCCCTACGGAACTGCGATTCCATGTCTTCGATACACTCGGATGGATCTCGCTATGACTGGGCCTTCTGGTGAACCTGGACTGTCCGGATAAAAAGCCCAGGAAAGTTTTTCTTAGCCGATTAGAATCACCATCACCAATGGATATGAGTCAGGGCAATCGTTATCAGTTTGCCTCCCCCGGATTGCAAACCCTGCAAACTCTGCAAATTTACGAGTCACCGCCGGAGTCGCTGCTCGCGTCACGTGACATCATGGGCATCACTTGAGTCATACACCGCCATCGGCCAGTCGAGTTATATAGCCGGTCTTTGGAGACTTGCTACAGCTCAATTCCCACCTCCAACACAGCTCCATCAATCATGCCCGGCGCCTTTCGAATGACCGCTGCGCGGTGCAGCTCGGCCACCCGCCAGCTGCTGCAGCAACATGCCTCGCAAACGCTCCCGCCGACCTCCCCCTTCGCGCCGCGCCATCTGCTCTCGATCGCCGACCTGACGCCGACCGAGTTCGCGACGCTGGTGCGCAACGCCTCGGCCCACAAGCGCGCCATCAAGTCCGGCGCGATCCCGCAGAACCTGCTGGGCGCGCTGACGGGCCAGACGGTGGCGATGATGTTCAGCAAGCGGAGCACGCGGACGCGGATCTCGACCGAGGGCGCGGTGGTGCAGATGGGCGGCCACCCGATGTTCCTGGGGAAGGACGACATCCAGCTCGGGGTCAACGAGTCGCTGTACGACACCGCGGTCGTGGTCTCGTCGATGGTCTCGTGCATCGTCGCGCGCGTGGGCCCGCACGCCGACGTCGCCGGCCTCGCCCAGCACTCCTCCGTCCCCGTCATCAACGCCCTCTGCGACTCCTTCCACCCGCTGCAGGCCATCGCCGACTTCCAGACCCTGCACGAGACCTTCACCCCGAAGGCGCACCACCTCTCCAGCCTCGGCCTGGAAGGCCTCAAGATCGCCTGGATCGGCGACGCCAACAACGTCCTCTTCGACATGGCCATCAGCGCCGCCAAGATGGGCGTCGACCTCGCCGTCGCCACCCCCAAGGGCTACGAGATCCCCGCCCCGATGCTGGAACTCATCCAGCAGGCCGGCCAGGGCGTCCAGAACCCGGGCAAGCTCATCCAGACGAATATTCCGGAAGAGGCGGTCAAGGGCGCCGACGTGCTGGTCACGGATACCTGGGTGTCGATGGGCCAGGAGGCCGAGGCCCGCAAGCGCCTCCAGGACTTCGCCGGTTTCCAGATCACCCCCGAGCTGGCCAAGCGCGGCGGCGCCAACGAGGGCTGGAAGTTCATGCACTGCCTGCCCCGTCACCCCGAGGAGGTCAGCGACGAGGTCTTCTACAGCAAGCGCTCACTGGTCTTCCCCGAGGCCGAGAACCGTCTGTGGGCGGCCATCTCCGCCCTGGAAGGGTTCGTCGTGAACAAGGGCAAGATTGAGTAAGAACGGGTTTGATTGTGTACTCTTAAAAAAAGCTGTTTTTTTTTTTTGTTTTGATGAGCGTGTATAAGCACTTGATCTGGTGGAGTATCTTGTACCGGAAGGGGGTTATTGTCTAAGCACTATTCCAATGAATTGCATGGACCCGAGGTTGAGTCCTGAGGCTATTTCGACTTCATTCAAGGTTCATATATATAAGTGTGTCTCTGCAAAATAGTGAGACTAGTGTGTCTATCGTCCGGTAGATCAGAGTATCAAAGCATTCGTCACTTGAGAGACGCGCATTGCAAGCTCGAAATTGCTTCAATCTCTGGCCTCCATTACGTTCAACAACATTGGTATATCATTCCTCCAACCTGGGAGTACATGCTAGCTATATAGAAGCTAATAACTCGTCGATGCTCGATCAACGCGCTCATACGAAGCCATACCTAGAGCGGTTGGCCCGATACGCCCAATCCTTCGATGGACTATGTCCCAGCCCCCATCGGCCGCGGCTCACCGGCCTTGACCTTCCCTCTGCATCCGCGCCTGCCAGCCGTCCACATTACTCCGACGGATCCCCAGTGTCCTTCGCATCGTCGTTGGCGGTTGGTTCTGAACCATTGACATCGTGGTCGTGTGGAACGTGCTCACGGGCCGAGACAGCTGGTCGGTATTTGAAGTATATGGAGTCATGCTGCCGGCTGACGTCGGCTGAATCGAACTTTCGTGGCTGTTCTGGATTGTAGACTTGGGCATCCGAGAGAGGTCCGTGGGCTCGGCCAGCCACGTGTAAGCATTCGGGTTTGACGGTTCGAGGGCCGGTCGCGGGGGTTGCAGCCGCTGCACTTGCGGTCGGTGCATGGTGTATGGTTTCGGGATCGACCCTTTCGCCGCGGTATTCATCGGTCTCGTCTGAAAGGGAGGTACAGAAGACCTCCCTGACACCGAGAGGGACTTGGCACTGACTTCGACCTCCGTCTTGGTAGCTGCCGAGGAGGACAATCCTAGGAATCCGGAAAGTGTCTTCTGGGAAGCGTCTGGCTTACGAACGGGACCACTGCCGATCGCCTTCCTTTTCGCACCGGGTTTTGCGGTGGCTGTATCCTCGACCATAACATTGTTCACCGCGATGTAGTCTCGTGCTGATGAGAATCCTAGGGCTGGAGTAGGAAGCCATGTCCCCGTGTCAGCAGTCTGAGGCTGGTCAAACCGCTTTCTCTTCGCATACGGCCCCTCGACCATTGCTCTCCGGTCACCATATTGAAGCGAAGGGTCAATTTGCTCGTATCCTTCCTTCGTCCACCGGTCATCAAACAATGAAATAAGTGTGCTTTGGGCCTCTTGTATTGCTACTTCCTCTGGTTTAGGTCGATGCAGGATGTCTGCAATCCCGTGCACGACATCGTCGCTGAAGACAGGCCCGAGTAATCGGAATCTGTTGCCGACTACTTGCTCCGGCAGGAAATTGGACAGTTTGGTCATCTCTCCCCCCTGCGACTGTTCGAGGGGCTGACTCAGGTAGAGTAGCGCTTGTGCTCGGGTCATTGCTACATATAGCAGCCTTCGTTCTTCGTCAGAGTCTTCGGCGCGTGAGTGAGGGATGCTGCCATTGTACACAGCGGGAACGAAGACGACGGGCCATTCGAGTCCCTTGGCCGCATGGATGGTAGAAATCGTAACTTTCTCGTTTGAGGCGTTCCCTTCCGAGCCTTCCTCTTGCGGTGTGACCTCGCTGGACAGCGCCACATTCGCGAGAAACCGAGACAATGCTTCTTCCCCGGGGTGAGCCTGTTGCTGCTCGAGGCCCTCTATCACGGGTAGACTTTCGGTTTCGGTATTCTGACCGTCCGAGCCAGGCGTATCGTCGGCCTGGGTCAGCAGCTCCTCTACATTGGCCCACCGGTTTTCCTCGTTCGATCCGTGCAAGGTTTTGAGGTATTCTCGAAAATTTAGCTTCTTAATCACGTGGTCAAGGAGGATCCGTGGCGATGAACTATCGGGGGTGTCACTGAGCTTCTTCCGGGCAGATTCGATGATCCCGACGAATGTGCAAAGGCCTTGATTCGTAAGCTTTGAAAGTGTGCAGTCTGCTGACCGGTGGCCTTGCGCTACACCCTTGATATAGTCCCAGAGCGGCAATTTCGCTTTCTCGGCGCCGGCGGTGAGCGCCTTGATTGTCTCTTCTCCAATTCTTCTCGAAGGGGTATTGATGACACGGGTAAGGGCTTCGCTGTTTTGCGGATGGCTGATGACCCGGAGGTAGTCCAGAAGCAGCTTGATTTCGACTCGATCAAAGAATTTTGAGCCTCCAACCATCCGGTATGGAATTCCATTCTTCCCCATTGCCGACTCTATACGTCGAGAAAGAGCCGCCGTTCTGAGCAACACGGCAAAGTCGGAGTAGTTGAGGAGCTTGCCTGTCGTCCCAATACAACGCTTAATCTCGAGCACGATCCATCGCGCCTCGGCTTCAGCATCTACCAGTTTCCGCAGCACAGGCATGGTTCCCACGCTATGTGTTGGCTGCAGCCTCTTCGCTGGTCTGGAGGTGTCTTGCTCGATGACATCCTGTGCCGAATTCAAGATAGACCCAGACGACCGATAGTTGTTTTCCAGCAAGACCACAGATGTGTCGCGATATAGTTTCTGCATGCGTGCCAGATTCTTGATCTCTGCGGATCGGAACCCATAAATGCTTTGATCCGGGTCGCCGACGATGGTGATGCGCTTGTTCTGGGATGCGAAGAGATTCATGAGCTCATACTGAATGAGGTTGGTGTCCTGGAATTCGTCTACCAAGACGGCCTGGATGTTCGAAACACATTTCGGATGCTGTCTCAGGAGGTCGGCGCATCGCACAAGCAGGTCGTCATAGTCCAGCAGATTCGACTCCGCCAGGTGCCTTTCGTACTCGCGGTAGACCTGGACGAAGTCCCATTGCTCTGTGGTCTTGTTCTTTGTCTGTATCCTTGCTGCGACCTCATCTGGGCCGACACCCTGGGCTTTTTGGCGAGAAATTCGTCCCCTAGCGGCCCCCGGCTCGATACTGACGCGCAGCCGCTTGATGATTTTCTGCCAATTATCCCAGGTCAATATAGCTCCACCATGGAGACGGTCGCGCAGAGTTCAACAAGATAGAGGCTTGACCCACTTTGATGATAGACGTACTGTCACCGGAGTCGGCGATCCCGAAGCCTTTCTTCAGCCCGATCAAGTGGCCGTAGATCACTAGATACCGCCGGCAGATCGAATGGAAGGTTCCCAGGAGCAGTCTCTTCTGTAAATCCTCACCAATCAACTTGGCCAGCCTCTCTCGCATCTCCCGGCTGGCCTTGATAGTGAATGTGCAACAGATGACATCTTGAGGGCGGTAATTATGATGCGCCAGAAGGTACGCGACGCGCGCCGTCAGCGTCTTTGTCTTACCTGAACCCGGTGGCGCCAGGACTTGCAAGATAGACGCCGGGGATGTCACAGCAGTGGACTGGGAGGAATTGAGACCATCGAGGATACAGTCCATTGCTGATCACCCATGAGTTGCTGTATCATGGGCAATGATTGGGGTGTGGTGAGGTAGATGTTGTTTTCTGGTGACGCGAAGAAGACGCGTCATCATGTGACTTATGCAGCTGGAAGGTGTTATCACGTGAATTTACTCTGTACACTCTCCAATATGATGTTTTTTGTTGTGTAACCTCATCAAACCACTCTTGAATATTGTCGGAGATGATCAGAATATACCAGAATAGTGTTTCTTTGCCTGAAAGTATTTGATTTAACTCAAGGTGTGCGATTTCGCTTCCAACTGCTGCGAGTTCCTGAGGCCTCTTGGCAGGTTTATCTATATGTTTTGCAGCTTCTGGGGGTGTTCTTTTCCTGATTCAACGAGGCTTCACCAGAGCTTCACTGTACTCTCGCTGAAAGGCCTGCATCAAACCTGGTGCTGCAAATAATCACAAGCCATGTTCAGGCCCGCTAAATATAGTACTTCTTTTTAATCGTACGAACCTGTCTACTTTGCAGGACCACTTAGTTCATCAGATTAGATCATCAGATTAGATCTTCCACAGACTGTGCCCAGCACAAAAAATGAAAGACTGCCTGATACATTGCCTGATCTTGCCGAGTTCCAGTGTTCATTCAAGCTGAAACGCCCCGTTGGGCTTCCCCCTTATTATCCTTGACTCATGGTAATCACACTTGCCAAGTTCTTCAGCTCAATAGCCGCCGAGAGTGAGTTCTTACTTCGTCTAGCCCAAGCGGGTGTCGCATTGACAGCCGGAACCAAGGCAAGCTTCGTATTTAACCATCTCGCCTAACAGGGAAATATTTTGAGCATCCTGCTGTCATTTCAGTGTGTACGGTCTTTACGATCCTCTGGTACTCGTCTTGATGGGACAGATCGAACTTATCTGTTGCTCCCCACACACCAGAAGCCCTTTTCTTTTAGAAGTAGATTCCAGAAGGACGCCCACGTCTCAATACTAGAGATATCTTCGTCTCTTGTAGTATTCATCATGCAGAAAGACAATTCCCTCTTGGTCTTATTTCAGATTGTCACAGTACAGTAGAAACATCCCTAAGTCCACAACCGTACACGACACGCACTAGCCAGAACAGCCGTAATCCAGGTTCACTGTACTGTATCTTTAGCTGAGACAGCACAGATACGGTACTTCCGGGGGCTCCGAGCGCGAGGCCTACTGAGTACTTCTCGAGACATACATCTACCAGCTGACCTGTCAAGCTCGAGTCAGATTGATAATTCCGAGAGTTCTACCAGGGTCGCAGATTCCAGTCGGCAAGGTAACCAAGATAGGCAAAATCGGGTGTTGCCGTCTATCAGCCTAGTATAAAGTCCTTGCATATAGGGGTTTGACGGGGATGAGAGACTTTTCCTCTGGCCTACAGTCGCAACAGTTTGATCCACGTTTTGTTCTGCATGATGGCCCGTGCGGTTGCATTCATTGCATATGAGACAGTTATGTCTGCATCTCGGGATACAATGGCATTCTTGTCAGTGGTAATTGTAACTGACTTGCATTGTCAACCTTATTACTTCTTCTGTTTGAAATACTGTTTAACCATCACCATACATGGGTAACCTTGCCAACTTACAGCGAGCTCTAATGAAGTTACTTCAAGTTCAATCCATGAGCAACGCTTGCAGGCATGGAATATATGCCGATGTGACTTGATACGCTGCACAGTGAGCCATTGGAGTAATTGGCAGTACGACGTACACAACCCAGCCTCTGCTTGTGCTGTAAGCAGACTTGCAAGGGGCTCTAGTATTGGGGTTTAGGTGCTCGGAGTATGGAGTATCCCGCACAATACATATAACGTACTGTACCATACATTGCTGAGTTACTGTTCTGACGTGACCACATATCTGCTGTATTGATTGTTATCTGATCCGGTAAATTACATACCAGGGGTTTGATACGGCAAGTGTCGAGGAGGGGTAAACCTTGGAAGCCATGGCCTAGCCGGGAGGGGTACGCAGAATCTTCTTTTTTTTTTTTTTTGTCTTATTGATTTTCCCTTCAGCAGTCAGACTCCTGCTATCTCCGACAACATTCCGATCCTTCTTCTAGGCAGTTCGGGCAAGAATGTCAGAGGTGGAGTCAGGCCAGGTTCTGGGTCTTCCCGGGTTGCCTTTCTTCTTGCAACCCGAGCGCACACCTGCAGAATCCAGTCCGACGACCGATGTGGGGATGCGACTGGGTATAATATCAATTCGCTCCGATGGTGGACTGGCCACTTTAGTCCGCAGCCAAGAATCGCGCGAGTCCAACGATCCATTCCGACGAAACCTTCACGCCGCCCCATTGGAGTGATAATGCAGAGTGGATTCCGCGACCGGTTTGAGACAATGACAATGATGAAATTGAAGCCCCTCTCTTCTCCCCCGGGCTTGACCGGGTAGATTTTTTTTTAATCTGATAAGATCCCAGAGACCCCCGGCGGCTGGCCCTGCCCGTCAGATTTCTCATCCACCACTTTCCGTCACAATGGCTACTGTACGGCGTCTTCAGCAGACTTTGTCTCACTTCCAGTCCCCTCGGACGACCCAGCAGCTCTCAATTGTGCAGGGTCCCACAGAGCCGGCTTTGCTCGATATCACGTTGGGTGAACTGCTGACGCTGCAGAGCCTTCACTATGGCGACTACGAATGCTTGGTCTTTCCCTGGACTGGAGCTCGCTGGACGTATACCAACCTGAACGATGAGGCCGACCGGCTGGCTCGGGGCCTGTTGGCGATGGGAATCCAGAAGGGCGACCGTATCGGTATCATGGCCGGCAACTGCGAGCAGTACATCGCGGTCTTCTTCGCCGCCGCGCGTGTGGGAGCCATTCTGGTGGTGTTGAACAACACATACACTCCTTCCGAGCTTTACTATGCTCTTGACCATACAGGTTCGTTGCACTTCTCACTTGATTGATGCAGCCTCAATGGCTGACTCAAGCGCTTTCTCCCTTCAGACGTTCGTGTGTTGTTTATGACCCCTCGCATTGGCCGTCACTCTCTGGAAGAGGTTTTGGAGAAGATGGGTCCCAAGCCCAAGCAAGCCGGCAGCTCTGTCGCATTGGAGGAGATTGTCATTTTGCGGGGCGAGTACCAGAACTTCAGCACGTACAACGACGTGATTCACCGCGGGTCATCGCTCCCCAGCTCTGCCTTGCCGAACCGCGAGATGGAATTGAGCCCCGCCGATGTCTGCAATCTCCAATTCACCAGTGGCTCAACGGGCAACCCCAAGGCTGCCATGCTAACGCATCAGTAAGTATCCATAGCCCGATGGAGATGATACAAGACATGCACATCTGGCTACTTCAGGTGTGTTGGCGAGCACCTTGACTGACCGAAGCGGCGTCTGATAGTAACCTCGTCAACAACTCACGCTTCATCGGCGACCGCATGGACCTGACCTCCTTCGACGTCCTCTGCTGCCCCCCGCCTCTGTTCCACTGCTTCGGCCTGGTGCTGGGCATGCTGGCGGTTGTGACGCATGGATCCAAGATCGTCTTCCCCAGCGAAACTTTCGACCCCAAGGCGGTTCTTCACGCCATCTCCGACGAGAAGTGCACCGCCTTGCACGGCGTCCCCACGATGTTCGAGGCGATTCTGGCCCTCCCCAAGCCCGCCAACTTCGACACCCGCAACCTCCGCACTGGAATCATCGCCGGAGCACCCGTGCCTCGGCCCCTGATGAAGCGACTCTTCGAGGAGCTGAACATGACTCAATACACCAGCAGCTACGGTAAGCGATCACGCTCTGGACAGCACCCAATGAGACGAGTTGTTAATATGTCCTTCATCTTGCACAGGTCTCACCGAAGCGTCTCCCACATGTTTCAACGCGCTCACCACGGATACCATCGAGACCCGCCTGAAGACAGTCGGAAAGGTCATGCCGCATGCGCGGGCCAAGATCATCGACGCCGAGGGTAACATCGTCCCGGTCGGCCAGCGCGGGGAGCTCTGCATCGCCGGGTACCAGTTGACCAAGGGCTACTGGAACAACCCCGACAAGACGGCCGAGACCCTAACCACCGACGCGGAGGGCACTGTCTGGCTGAAGACAGGTGACGAGGCCATCTTCACGCCGGAGGGGTACTGCACGATCACCGGTCGCTTCAAGGACATCATCATCCGCGGTACGTGGCTCACCCTCCCTTCCCTCAAACTCGTGCCCAGCTCCAAAATGACAACCGACTGACGGATCCATGGTGTGTGAACAGGCGGAGAGAACATCTACCCCCTCGAGATCGAAGAGCGCCTCGCCGCGCACCCGGCCATCGAGCTCGCCTCCGTCATCGGCGTCCCAGACCAGAAGTACGGCGAGGTGGTGGGCGCGTTCATCGCGATCGCCGCCGGCCACGAGACGACGCGGCCGTCGGTCGACGAGCTGCGCAACTGGACCCGTGAGACGCTGGGGTGGCACAAGGCCCCGCAGCATGTGTTTGTGTTCGGCGAGGAGGGCATCGACCGCACGGTCCCCGTCACGGGGAGCGGCAAGGTGCGCAAGGTCGACTTGCGCAAGGTCGCTGCTCAGGTGTTGGAGCAGCGGGGACAAGCTGTAGCTAGCGCTTGATTTTCGGTTTGGTTTACTTGGTTTAGAATGTGATAATACCCATTTTCTTTTTTGTTTATGAAACGAAACGAGGGCAGTAGGATAAAGCTTCGTCTAGTAGATTATTGGCAATGCTACACAGCGCAAGCTTGAAGAGCATTGGGAAAGTGAAGAATGGTGCAAAACGGACATCATCATCATCATCATCGTCATCATCGAGCGCCCCCCAAAGAAAAAATCTAACCTCGGAACGGAACCCAAACGGATAAGATGTGGTGTCACCGACTGGGAACTTAATCCCCATCTGATCTGATTAGATGATATGATCATCTAATCTGATTGGATAAAACCGCGCGCCCCGTGGTTGACCTGGCAGACGGTGGCATCCACATCCACACCCAGTGCCTGCCAGGTGCCCTGCCATGCACTGCGCTGCCAGACAGATAAAAAAAAAGACCCGGATCCACTTCTCGGCAGCCTCGCACGGCAAGATTTGGTCGCTTCAGAATTTCCTCCAAAGAATGAATCCCATAGGAGGCTAAATCAAACCAATCATCTGCGTCCGTCCCTCGGTTTTTCAGTGTCAAGCAAAATTCATATCCTGCTACCGGGTAAAAATGCATGGACGGGCAACAGCGGTTAACGATTAATCAATATGGATGGAGTGGGGGGGGGGGGGGGGAGAGGAGGAAACGGATGAATAGGTGGCTGGCACGATATTGAGTCAATTTCGAAGGATTTCTTGCCCATCGATGTGTGCGTGCGTGGTATTGTGGGCAGTGGCTTTTGTTTCTTGGTGGGTATTTGGGGAGGACGTTTGGGCTAGTTTTGGTTACGGGTGGGGCTTGCGGTGGGTTTGTTGTCTTGTATGTTTTGTATGAGTCAGATAATGTGTATGTATGTGTGTGTATTGGTCTTGGTAAGGTCAGAGTGGTGGTGTATTGTAATGTGGACTCTGTATTGATGATATTTGCGGGACATGGCTTAACATTGGGCTCTGGGTTGTATACAATGCAGTGCGATCCTGGAAGAACATTGAAGGAGATCTACCGCTTGCATTACAGATCAGCCTAGCATGAATCAACGTTGTTTCAATAAAGGCAGATCTATTCTTGTTGAACACCTTACACCCAGCAATACCCCGAGGTAGCCTGGCTGTCCCTTCGTATAAGGAGTATGTCCTTATTCTCGAGTCAACCAATTCCATCTTCCATCTTTACTTCCCACAACTACCACCAAAACCACACTGCCGCCCCCCCTTACCATACCACCTCCCAGCTCAATCATCATGACAATACAGTATAATATGTTATTGCGTAGAATCCAACCCAACCCATACAATCAACCACCCAATGCACACACACACTGAGCCAAGAAACCAACCCCTTCTTCACAGTCCACGCACAGAACCATATCTCTTCCATTTGTGGCCAACAATTCAGCCATCTCTCACAACCATCCGATATGGTGTAGTGGCTAACATCGCCGTCTCTCACACGGCAGCCGGGGGTTCGATTCCCCCTATCGGAGTACGCTTTTTGGGGTCTTCTTTTTTGCTCCAGCTTTCGTTTGGTGTTGACGATGTAGTCAAGATTAGATCGAATCCTATGGGGGTCTGGGGATTCAAGTTTTGGGGGAGTGATGCAGCATTGTTGGTAGCTGCTTGCGGCCCGTGGTCGTGGGATCCTCTTTTGTGTGGTTGGCGTGTTGGGGGCTGCGTGCCATGTCATTTGGCTGGCACTGCGTCTGTGATCTACCTGTCGAGTATGTTGATGGGTTTGGGCATTGGCTGAGGTGAGGATCTTAGACTTGGTAGAACTTGATATTCTTTATCCAAATGAATGGTGCTGCTTGCTGAGATATTCTAGAGACTCTGGGACAGTACGGAGTCTGCAGGTGCGCGATGGAGGCTATCATGCCGTGGTACATGCAACCCTGACCCTAATATACAGTACAACAACGGTCCAAATCAGTGTATATGTATATCATAACGAAATCTACAATGTCTATAGTAATCACCAAGCCAAACACTCCCACACCGCCGCCGCAACTTTCAGGCGGGACTCCTCCCTAAACCCTAAACACCGTCCCCGGCACCAACTCAACAACCGCCGTTCTGCCCCCCGCAACAACCTCAACCGTAACCTGCGCCCTCGCCTCCACCTCCACCGGCCCATCCCTCTCCCAGTTCACCCTCACCTCCCCAGCCGGCGTCCACAACCACCCCTCCGCCTGCGCCACCAGCTCCCTGCGCGGCTCGATCCGGACCCGCACTCCCTTAACCCCCGGCGTCACCGGCGTCACGCCGAACACCTGCGTCACCAGCTCATTGACGGGACAAGCACTCCAGCCATGACAATCACTGCGGGCATTGACATCGTCCTCCGCCCAGGTCGTCAAATTCTCCGCCATCATGGCGCGCCACGGCGCGAGGAGGCGGTGGAACACGTCCGCGTAGACGCCGGCCTTCTCAGCGGCGCGGAAGACGTAGAACTTCATCGCGTAGGAGCACTGCGGAAGAGCCGTGTCCTCGACGCACCGGCGCATGAGGCTCGCGGCGTCCGGCCCCGTGATGGTCTCCGACAGAATGGCGAAGATCTGCGTGTGCTGGCTGTACTCCTCCACCCCGGGGCCGTCCGTGTACAGCCCGTCCCTCCGGCCGAGACAGTGCTGGTTCACAGCGGCGCGGAGGGCCGCGGCGCGCGCCCGGTATTCCGCGGCGGTGTCGGGGCGGGCCGCGAAGGTGCACAGGTCCGCCGCGTGCAGGAGGGCCATCGCGTATAGGAGGCTGTTGATGGTCGCTGCGCCGGCGCTGCGGGGGTGGTAGGCGGGCGGCATGCACGACTGGAAGATCTGGCCGGGCACGAGCCATTCTTTGACCCAGTCGATGAAGGGCCAAGTGTTCGGCGCGAATTGCCCGACGAGCCCCCGGCGGTCGAGGCGCTGCGAGAAGTGGTCCAGGATGCTGTCGACCGTCCCCAAATACCGGCGCACGAGGGTCGGGTCGCCGAAGTACCGCATGTGGTCGTGCACCATCAGGATGAAGTAGAGGGAGAACTGTGGGATCTGTTTGAGCGGGAGCCCCGTGGGGTATTGCGCGATGATGAGGCCGTCGGCGGTGCGGCTGGCGTGGAACTCCTCCATGGTCTTGCGGGCTAGGCAGTCGTCCGGCGAGAGCTGGTAGCCGAAGAGCATCTGCAGCCGCGAGTCGGATGCGAACTGGTTCTGCTCGTAGAAGGGGCAATCCTCGAAGGTCTCATGGCGGCAGTTCTTGAGGGTGTGGAGGCTTATGTCCCAGATCTTGGTAAGTTCGTCCCCGGCTTGGATCTTCGTCTTGATTTCCAGCGGGTACGATGTCTCGCGCAGGGAGATCCGGCTCAGGGTTAACGGTTGGTCGGTCGTGGTGATCTTGATCTGCACGTAGCGAAAACAGCGGAACCAGAATGGCTCGAAGGAGTGCGTCCCCTGGCCCGCCGTGACGGTGTAATAGTCCCTCGGCCCGTAAAGACGACCGCTGACGTCCGCGCGGTTGGCTTTGGTTCGTGGCATGGGGAAAGGAGCGGTATCCACCCCGAGGTCCTTCTCGTAGCACTCCGCATACAACACTGTCAGACGTGCGCCTGACCCTCCACTGAACGCCAGGTTGATGAAAGCAGTCATGAGGCTGTCCACGCTCAAGTCAACCGTTACGCTCTCACCTGCCGGGACGACGACAGGCTGACCAGCAGATAATAGCGCTTCCCAGTCCTCCGCTGCAATTGCCCCGGAAGACTTGGCGACTCCGTCGAACCTGCACGGTATCTCCGGCAGAGGAGGGATCGGCCGCGGGCTAAGCTGCCAATGGCTCACGATGGGCATCATTTTGACCGCGTTCGACTGCACGACAGCAGACTCCCATGCGGAGTCATCGTATCCAGCGTCGTGCCAACCACGCAGGGCCGGATCCTCCTCGACCCGCTCATTGTTCGCCATGAACGGCGGCCCGAGCAGGAAATTCCACCCCGCGTGCGGGATGACCTGCACGGATTTCTGCTCCCAGCATTTCCACGACACATCGCTGGAGATTGGAAGATCCTATAGACTCACATCAGCACACTGTTCTTGTGAAAAAGCAACGCGGGCAATGGAGCCCCCGCACAGCAACCAACCCACCTCCCTGGCCGAAGAGAGCATAAACCCCGGCAACGGCGAGCTGACGATCGAGGACGAGCCGGCCACGATACTCGAGTAGCGCAGGACCCGGGCACTGACTACGTTCGCGCCGGCGACGAGGTACGGACGAATGTCCACCGTCTCGTAGTACCACTTGCCGGGATGCGATTTGCAGGGCCCGAAGCTGACGCTGCGCCCGTTGACGAACAGGCGATATCGACTGTCGGCGGAGACGTGCACGAGGCAGTCGTGGTCATTGCGAGCGGTGCCCGGCCATTGGAAGGTTTTGCGGAAAAGAAAGTATCGGCCGGGCTGGTTGTCCTCTTCCAGGTAGTGCGGGACCCAGATCCATGGGGCGGACAGGGCCCAATCCGTGCTTGTCATTGCTGTGGCTGCTGGTGTGGCTGCTGGTGTTGCACCGCAGAGGTTTTATATATCATTGTGAGCGAGTGGTGGGAGTTGACAAGGATGGATTTAAGCAACAGCCGTGGGGAGCTCGGATAACCCGCTCGGTCAACCATTACCCCGGATGATTGATGATTCCCCCCCGCACTCGGCTATTCCGGCTCTCTCGTCAGCGCTCAACTGGCGGGGTACATACATACTCGGTACATACTGGGTTAGTTTACTAGACAGAAGACTGAACGTGGTGAGAGGCTGAGATCTATCTTCATGTTGTGTATTTTGCATTCTATATCAGGCGTAATAATACATCTAAGCAACCGCTAAATCCAACCAATCCACTAACTCGCCCGATGTGGTTTTTATACAAAGGCTTCTAGACAGATCGCCAATCGTACCGATTGTAGTCCTCCCGTACCGCCTCCCCCTCCGGGACCTCCGCCGGATCAGCTGGGTTGGTCCTCTTGACATAAGCCTCCGGCGGCGCCCACAGCATGTTCCAAACCTTGGGGTTATTCAAGGAGCTCTGCGGCTGGAGCGGGCCGAAGCGGAAGGTGCCCTCCTGTTCTTCCGACGGCAGACGCATGTAGTAGCGCACGCTCTCCGGGATCTCCTGACGGACATGGCTGATCATGATGAGGGCCTGCTCATCGGAGAGACCGCCGAAGCGAGACTCCGGGCCAAGCCCGTTTTCAAGGAAGTCAATGCACTTGTCACGTAGACCGGTGCTCATTCCGGAGAACGCCTCATCGAGGATGACGATATCAGGTCGATGAACCAAAGCGCGCAGGAAAAGAGCAAGCCTCTGGATATCGGGCGGTAACTGCCCATACGTAGTCATGTCGGCCCATTCCAACTCAGCGCCAGGGGGACTGAACACCTTTCTGAAGTGGTAAGCATCGTGCAACGGGAACATCTTGCCAGTGGCTTGCGTAATGACCCCCCTTTTGCGACCTGGGAGATTGCGCGGGAGCGCTAGGGCAGCGCCGATCTCAGGCTTGAAATACTCCAGGATGGCCTCCACGTCCAGATCGCGCTCGTAGTCCATCTTCGGCCGCGACAAGAAGGTCTCAGCAAAGCCGGATTCGATAACTTCCCGCAGGGTTAGTTGATGGGGAAAGAAAGCCTGGACTTCGGGCGAGGAGTGACCAATGCGCCGCTGAAGTTCAAAGATGGAGATGCCCGGTTTGCCTTCTTCAGGCAGACGGGAGCGGCCGAAAAGACGGATGGGAAGCGCATATGTCTGAGGGTGGTCGGAGGTGATGAGCGAGAGGAGTGTCGTCTTGCCGGATCCGTTGGCACCGAGGATAATCCAGCGCTGGCCGCGACGCACCGTCCAGTGGAGACCCTCTTTCAATTCGCCGTCAACAGACTGTGACCAATTGCCCAGAACGGCCTTGTCTCCATACTGCACGCGAACCCCTTCCATTTCGATCAAGGGTTCGCCACCTCGGAGCGGATGGGGCTTGGCTGGCGCGGAGCTTTCGGACAGAGAAGATGGTGAAAACCCCCTTAAAAACTCGTGCATGTATTCCCGGGTCATGGTCGTTGCCGCTTTCTGAGTAGATCTAACGTAGCTTCCTTCGGTGTTCCTCTGTATCCTGTTGTAGCCGTCCAGGACATCTGCCTCATACGGTGGATTGGCAAGGATTTGTGACAAGCCGAAGCGGCGAGATTGGGCGAAATGTGCCCATACATTGGCCAATTGATGGGCATGTGCTCGACGCCCCGCGTATATCACGCCTTGGTTGTCGCCGAGTATGACAACATGACTGATCCAGTCTGGCAACGGGTCTTGTGGACGGAATGAGAGAATCAACCGGGGTTCTGCCTTGCGGGCGAGGCGGCGGAGGAGTTCCGACATTCTTGCGAGGGATTCAGGATCCAGGCCCACTAGAAGCGGTTTGAATCAGTGAGTGATCCGGCGCTGGACATCATGGGCCAGGAAGAGGACTTACTGAAAGGATCGTCAAGAAGTAGCACTTCCGGTTTCTTCAGCAGGGCTTTGGCGACCCGGGCTCGTCGCATTTGACCGTTGCTCAAGTTGGCCACCGGCATGTCCAGAAGCTCAGCTAGCCGCAGATCCTTGATGACCCGGGCGAGCAACTCCTCGTCATCAATGGTACCACCTTGCTCCTCCGGGAGCGGGTTCAACGAGGTCTGGCCGCGGAGAAATTGGCGCACCGTCCAGTCCGTCTCCTCCCGCAAACTCTCATACCGAGCACTCAGATAGGCGCCCCGCGTGCCCCCATTGGCTGCGGAGCCTTCTCCGCTAAACCCCAGGTATCTGATCGCATTGTCTGGGTATCGCGCTCGGGGATTGCGCTGGGCGATCTCATCGGTGAGAAGGTACGGGTAACTCCGGCCGTTGGGGGGGTCAGGTATGTACTTGCCGGCAAGGATTTCGAGGAACTGAGTCCTGTCAGAGCGCCCGACAACGGCCCAGGTCTGAATTTCGAAATTATCCTCCTCTAAAGCCTCGCTCGGCAGGGTGAAATCGACCTCTTTGAACACGGTCGGGTTTATGCCTCGGGCTTTGTCTTGAGGGGTGGGAGCAGTCTTGTAAAAGGTCGTGTTCTTAATAGAGATCAGCGGCGGAGAGAGAGAGGATGAGAAGCGGATGATCGAATGCGAGAGCGGTACTGACCGGAGAGGCCTTATCCTGCAGGCCCGCCGGAGCATGACGGTGCACGTATCAAAGTAACAATGCTGGAATTCAAGCAAAGTCCAGTCGATCTGGGCGCATCGTTGGATTTCGCCGTACTTCGCCCGGTTTCGGCAGGGAGGGGGATCTGCCGTATTCACGTGACATCACGTGTGCTAACTCATCACCTTCATGCCTCAGGCCACAACGCTTAGAATTGGTCTGTGCTGCCACTCAGATATCACAGGACGTTAGGTAACTCTAACTCGTGAAATAGAGAGAATGATTTCCGTGTTTTTAAGAGAAAGAAACAATATGTGATTTCAATATATACATAGAAATTAACCAAGAGTAAAGAGGAAGATAAAAGACCAGAATCGAAGGTGAATGCGGGCTAGCGCCGTTGTTCACCTCCCTGGACATTCTTCCAAGAACCCGCATAATGATGCGAGACCAGGTAGGGTCCCTGGTCCTCGGGGTACCCGCCCTGCAGTGCTGCATATGCCGCCTGCGGCAAAACCAGCACGTCCCCAAGCAGCCTCGGCTCATGCAAGTTGGTGATATTTGACCGGTCCACCGTCTCGCGCAGCGTATGCGAGAGACTCCGGAGTAGCGCCACGGTGATGGCCTGCGGACCACTCGCGTCCACAACGTCGGGAATCATTTCCATCGTCACCCCAGAGAGCGACACATTGTGCGATTGTGCGATCCCCTCCATTTGGTGCATCACATACTCGATCGCCGCCTCAAAGTGATTCAGCCTGGGTTTGGCCATCATTGTCCAACTGGCGAACTGCCATCCGTCAAATTCCAGTCCGACTACCACGTTGACCTGCTCCTTCACCCAGATGTTGCCATCATCCTTGACAAATACGTCGGGGATCCACTCCGCGATAGGTGCTTCGCAAGTGACATCCAAGTCGCTCCAGATGCCCCCATCGGCATAGAGAATCAACAAGCGAAGGAGATCGGCGCGGATGATCGGGACCTGGATCTGCTGGTAGAGATCTGCCACCTCGGGCCACTCGTCTCGGAAGGTCTCTTCGACGTAAGCGAGGGCACTGTCGTCGGAAAGGATCTCGTGGCGGAGGGACGGGTTGAGCGCATGCCACGATTGGATATAGCTCTGGATGTCCGGAGAAACGCCTTTGGGCCCCGACTTTTGCCACAGCTTCAGAGGAAAGGCGGTTGGAGTTGAGGTTGGGGTTGGGGTTGGGGTTGGGGTCGCTGCTGAGATCGGGAGTGTGGTCCAGGTGGGTTCAGTGGCGCTAGTTGGTTCGGATGACGGAGTAGGAGTAGGTGATAAGAAGCCCTGTTGTTGCTGGTCCGGTTCTTGTTGCTCTCGTTGCTGCTGCTGGGCCGGGGTTGTATTGACGGCGAATGCACTAGTGACCACCGGCTGGTGGAGTACACGGTGGAAGAGATAGAAGTTGAGGAGGAGAAGTGTCGAAAGGGCCAGAGTGACCGGGCGACTGAGCGAGAGGATCATTATGATCGATTATTGCTTTGGTACTGGACTTGTATTATATAGTGAGTTGGCTCAATCCTTTTCGAGGCGTGCGGTTTGAAGCAGTAGCAGTAGCGAGAAGAGGTCTCGTCGGGTAATTGTGGCAGAGCGTTGGTTGGTGGTGTCATAAGAATAGATGGTAAAGACTGACTTCACGGTTCATTGACCGATAGATAGATAGACAAGAAAGCAAAGCGAGCGAAGGTTTCAACACAAGCAAAGAAATGGGCTGAAGGAAGATTAGAGGATAAGGTGGAATGGGATGAGGTTCATCCCAAAAGGATATGGGGAGGGGGGGGGAGAAGTGAGTAAGTGACGACGAGAGGAGAGAGCGAGGGCGACAACCTATAGTTATCTTTCATTCGGACATGACTGCATATGTAGTAAGATTAATGGATTCACCCAGGGTTCGACTGGGTCGAAGGGTCGGGCTAATCCCCTTTCTCCTTTAATCTACTCGAATACATTGTGCTTAGGTTCGCTGTAGCGTAAATTGGATTTGCCTCGCCCATTTCCTGATAGGGGCTGGCTGGACAATGCTGGGGGCGGTTTGGGTGAAAGCGGGCGACAAGTGGGAAAGCGATTGCGGGCTAGTCGTTCCAAGTCGGCAAGATTTGCTTCCTGAGATGGGCCTGTCTTACCTGTTGGGGTGCTGAGTACCGTATAGGTAGGGTGGTATTTCTTGATTTCCACCAGAGTGGATCCTCATGGGTCTCAAAGCAAATTGCTGCTCGATCCGATGGGCAGATCCGTTGGAACATTGGAACCTTTTTCTTTCACTTGGCGCCATTGTCGGTGAAGAATGAAGACAGAGCACCCTGGATGGGCGGATGAGCAGATGGGCAGATGGGGATTGAGACGAGAGTTGATCGAAGTCCAAATCAGGGTTGAGGGACCCTGTTCGATCTCTGACATGCTAAGCATTTGATGGATGGAGCATGACGGACGGACGGACGGACGGACGGGGTCTGACCATTTTGGCACGCCAGCCGGTCAGGTTGGCCTGAGGCTAGACTAGTGGCGCTAAGAAGGAAAAGGAGGAAAAGGAAAAGCAAATGGAAAAAAGGAAAAAGGGTCTGAGCCGGTTCCGGATCTTGTCGCATTGGCTCACAGTGGGTTCCATGCGTTCCGTGGGTTCAGCGAATGTGACTTCGTATTTTTATTTCTCCTAGACTGATTGCTGCTGTGCGTGCCGTGGAGAATTTGGTTTAGCCGGTCTTACTGACTTACTCGTAGTGCCCACGTACTGCGGTCTGGACAGTCCTCGGCCCTTGCAGAGCGGCAATGTTGAATGGGCGGCTATTTTTAGTCACCGGAAACCAGAAGCTACCGACCGTATATCAACATAAAGTTCGCATGTGCGGATGATAAACCATGAATTATGTATGTATGTACTGTATGTGGTACTCAAGATGTGTACCCGTAGATCACAGAATAAGCCCTCGTTGAAATATTTGGGCATATAGCAAGCAAGCAGGCAGGGTGGGAGGCACGATGGCCCCCAACGCAAACAACGCAAACAGATCATCAGAAAGAAGGTCCCCCAAGCGCCTACACATGGATTATACAAAAAGACCGTCAATTGATCGCAATTGCCCACTTAGCCGAGCAGGGTTCAAGAGAGCTAGCAAAGCGTTGCGCATAGGCCTTGAGATTCAGATGGAGGAGGGATAAGGCTCGGAGTCGCCCCCATCAACTCGGCCCCCGGTGTGCCGAGAAAAGGGGCCGTTTGAAGATGGAATGAATGAATAAGAAGTGCCGGAGACCGTGTTGAATTCCAACTAGATGCTAGAGTCCAACACGCTTGGCGAATTAATAATTGTGGCCGTGATAGGTTGACGCTCGGTGATGGTACATGCTCCCCGCATATTCCGAATCCGCATCGGCGTAGATCGTCTGCCGGCGATCCTCTTCGGGAAGGAGCTCCTTAACCTCCCATGTGTTGGGCTTGATTCCCACAGAGAACTCGAGGTCCTCTTTCGTGATATAGTCCCAGAACTGGATACCGCCGTTAGAGATCCAGTCTGTCACATAGAGATAGCATGTGCTTACCTTGTACACCATCATGACCGCTAACAGATTACACAGCGTTGCGAAGAAGAGTCCGTCCATATAATGCTGCACGTTATCGCAAATCGCATCGCTGAACGCATAAAGAAGGACCTGCCCACAGATGAAAACCACAAGACCGAAAGCGATATGGCCCAACGGCCAGCGGTCCTCGAGGGTGTTGAGGACAAGCAGTAGCTGCATGACCAGGTAAATCACGATGAAGATGGCATTCACAAGGTACAGCACAACAAACATGCCGATGGTGTTTGTAGGGCCGAGGCTGCCCCACGACTTGAAGGTAGCGAGGGAGACAAGGAAGGAGACGACGAACATGGCGGCCGAACTGAGTCGCACGAGCCAGACAGATAGAGTGGTGCCATCTTCATAGAGCTGGAATCCCACGAAGCCGTTGATAAGCAACGAGGTACAAAGTGCCGAGGCCAAGCCGTTTTGTACAGCAGTAAAGTAAGGAAACGAGCTACTTCCTGGGGGTGTCACGCCTGCATCCAGGATCAAAGAACACATAGTCAAGAGCAGGTAGATGTAGAAAAAGGTCAGAATTTCCTTGCGGCCTGTATGCCATCATGGCTCTTCGTTAGCGAAATCCCACTATGCGACAGAGGGAATATCCGACAGCGATGGCAAGACCATACCAACAGCAGTGAACTTCGAACGAATGTGCAAAATCATGATCACCGTCATACCAAGGGCGATGATATGGACGAACGAAGCGGCGCCCTCGAAAATGATAGTGTTGGCCAGTTCGATGTTGCGTGCATAGCAGTTGGGAATAATGCCCGTTAAGCCGGATATCGAGGATGGCGGGCCCACCAAGGAGCACAGAGGCAATGGTGCCTTCTCACAGATTGAGTCGAAGTCGCCGAACCCCATTTTGTCTTCGAAAAGTTCCTTGAACAAGAAGCGGGGAGGAGGATGTCACGGGCGATCGCCTGGTCAGAAAAGGTTCCTTGCAAGGTAAATAAGATGGGCGGGCCTCTGACCCGGTCTCCACAACAACAGGTGACAAAGAGTTGGCGTCGCTGCTCCTATTACCGGGCAGCGCCTCGAAGATGCCACACCGCTGGGAAGTGGGAAGAAAAGGCAGCAGGAAGAAGATCTTAAAAACGAATGTAAAATGAATCGTGAAGACCCTTGTCGGGAACAGATGGACGGGGACGCACACACGAGGGGTTCAGGGAGAGTGGGAAGATGAGGCGGAGACCCTCATTTCCCCGTCTGGATTGCGATAGCGCAGCGTATCACGGGGTGGTGGAAAAAAAGGATGTGCTGCTATTTTAGGAATAGTGTGGAGGGTTCCAGACACACAGCACGTGATCGCGGAGATACCCGCCAGCAGCGCCTGAGGCATCCCGCATCTCATGCTTTTGTGTACCTTCATTTGTCTTATCAAGTACTCAACTCACAATACATGCAAGAAATTGGGGAGCAACTCCGTCCAGCTGCATTTACTCTCTATCTACTGACTGCGAGCTTTGTTTAGCTCAAAACAATGGAGACAAACGGAAGAATCAGACCAAGCCTGATTGTGTCCTTGGTTGTATCAGTGAAAGAACAACCGCGACAATGCCATTGTGGCCGTCAACCAGATCATTCATGCTCAGATAATAAGCACTCTTTCTGGCCACGGCAGGTCCTGGGAGACGATACCAGGTGGAAGATTGTTTGCGGAAATCTGCTTCGATCTGACCTGCACAATTGAAGCTCAACCCCGAGTACCTGACGTCCTCCGATATGTTTCGGCAGCCATGGACAAAGGGCCGAATAATATAAGTAACAAACATTCGCATCTTTCCCCAGTCCTTGACTACCTTGAGAGTCTGTCATGATCCAATACCGCACAATTGATCGGAACAATATACTTCAGACGAATATTTCTACTTTTCCATTCTGAAGACCCCGAAGTCTGTGACTCGTGAGGCACCAAATAATATACTAAACCATTCCTCTCTCCACGAACGCCCCGAAAGATTGACTAACCAGTGAGCAAAATCAGAAGAAGACTTCAAAATGTCGAACTACAACAACAACAACCGCAATCACAACCGCACCAATAATAGCAACAACAGCAACCGCAACAACAACAATAATAATAACAACAATAATAATCGCAATAATAACAATCGCAACAACAACAACAACAACCGTCTCTCTTTGCACGAACTCCAGCAGGACAAGGAGGTCCTCGACCATCTCCGCGACAGGAATGAGTCGCCCGAAGTCAAGGCGGAGTGGTTCTACCAGACCCTCGACCACAACAAGACGCAGCTGACCCATGCCGAGCAGAAGGCGGTTAATCTCGACACGGAGAACACCCAACTCAAGGACCAGCTGCTTGCGCTGACGAAGGCCCTGACCGAGACGGAGAAGCAATGGAGCCGCAAAGAACAGGCGTTGCGCCAGGAGCTCCAGGCGAGCAACAAAAGAGGCAAACGGCACGAGAAGAACTTCATCAAGTCGAAAAGAGAGAACGCCAACCTGAAAGTGAGAACTGCGAGGCAGGAAGAGCTGTTCAATGAGGCCCGGGAGAGGTGTCGGCAGATGGGCCAAAATGCTAAGCATCGCAACAAGAGCTTGAAGGACTTGCAGAACCAGCTTGTCCGGTACAGCAAGGAAGTAGGAGAGGCGAAAAAAGAACTGCACCAAAGTTTGCAGAGAAGCAGCTCTAGTGACGAAAGCGTCGAATCGCTGAACGACAAGTTGGAGGAGGAGAACTCGTGTCTCAATGAGAAGCTCCGCCGTGCAGTTCGAATGGCATCTGCCCAGGACGACGCCCTATACCTGGTTGCGAAGGGCAAGTCGAAGGAAGAGATACAGAACAAGAACAAAAAGAATGACAGCAAAAGAAATAGCCAACAAGACGACGAGATGGTTGATGTCCTGGATGAATCGAACCGAAGTCACCTCCTGGAGGGATTCAGCCAGAAATTAGCGGCCTTTACCAACTACGCCAAAAGATCCCACGGCTACGATACAGCCTACGATCATGACATGGCAGATTTGTCCGCGGATCCGCATAACGACCCCCGGACTGGGAAGAGATGGTGGCGCGGGGAAGAGGAGGAGACCCCAGATGAGAGGAAGAAGCGGAAGAAGCGGGAGATCCCCCAGAGCATGGTTGCCCAGCTCTGGAACCAACCCCGGGAGAACATGCTGGTGGATCAGGGCTCCAGCGTGTGGGTGGAAGAGCCCCGGGTGCCGCTCTACCTGCCACCGACCCCAACCGAGCCCCGATTCGAGGCGAGATTGCGCAAACGGGGGTTCGCGGACTTCAGTCTGGAAGGCGAAGCCATGGCGCCGGACCCTATTCTGGAGATGGGCGACCACCTCAAGCGCATGCGCATGGGCGACTTGGAGTTCGACTTCGAGTGGCCGTCCCAGGCGCCGGACAGCGGGTTCATGGCCATCACGAAGATGCTGGACGACATGAACGTCTCGCGGACCTACCTCGACGAGATCACCCCGGAGACGGCGCTCGAGCAGTTCCTGGTGGTCATCCAGACCGCGATGACGACGGAGATGCAGCGCACGCCGACGATCGAGGAGCTCCTCGAGAAAGTCGTCTGGTACCTGAAGGATGCCTCGGCCGTCAACTTCAACCAGCTCCAGAGCCGGTTGCAGCAGTCGCAAGCGCCGGCGTTACCGCCGCCGCCCCTGGTCCCCGAGGCGCGGGTCATCTCCGTCAAGCAGCCAACCGAGCAGGCGTCCACAGCGCCGACCAAGGTCCTCCCCCGCGAGAAGACCCGGTTCGTCGGCCCCAGCTACCTCCCGCCCAAGCACAAGCCCACCATGCTCCGCAGCAGCTTCCCCACCACCGCCAAGGAATGGACGAAGCTGTCCGCCGACCAAGACTACCGGAAGGAGGCCGAGGTCCATAAAGCCGCCGACCCGTCCGAGTCCGAGTACGTTCTCCAGCCCCACGAGCCGCGCGACTTCCGGAAGTTCGGCGGCGCCATCGACTTCGATCCGCCGAAGCAGCGCCCCTGGCTGCGGCGGCTGGGCTACGCCGGAGGGTTCTGCGCTTTGGTCTACATCGCGCTCAGCCGGTACTACGCGGCGCAGAATCCGGCCTCGCTCTGGATGGACTCCAATGAGGTGCCCCTGGAGCTCCTGCGGGTGTTGCGCAAGAGCCACTTTGACGAGCGCGAGATCGTGCAGATCATGCGGTATGGTGCGGCTAGATTTGCGGATATTAATGCGGGGATATTGGGCTGAAATGTCAAGGTAAGCAAGGGGTGGTATATAGGCAAAGTGGTTAGATCTGGGCTGCTGGATCATGCTGGCCTAGATGCTTGGGTATGGCAGGGGGGTCCAAGTAGGACGTAGCTCGTGATATATATAGACCTATACCGGCAGTAGCGGTGAGTATGCCATGATTGTTATGAGATCAGGTAATACGTACAGTACCGACTAGACTCGCGAGCCGACCTTTGCAGGCTTAGACGTTTGCAGTGTGGTGTAGGTGGTGTAGACCAGTCACCAGACCTACTGGAAGGCCTTGGGAAAGGGTAATATTAATCTTCATTAAAATCGCTGCTTGAAGCTAGTTATTTTTGTATCGGAAAAGAAAAGAGAACTTGCAAATCTTCCCACACGAGCCCTCTTTTCCCAAGGATCTATTCATACATCTAATCATGAACCCATATCGGTGGATCGAAAATCGACGAACAAGCACATTAGATATTATCGTTTCGGAGCATACTCCGGCTTCAGCGTCCACTTGCCGCGTCGGCTGCGGCCGCCCTTCTCCAGCACCGCAATGGTGTTGAGCATCTCCTTGAACTCGGCGGTCTTCTGCGGCGTCGTGCAATGGTGGTTGAACTGGTCGATCAGCATCTGCGTGTAGACCGAGCCGCCATGGGCCGTGATGAAGTCGCGCAGCAGGGTGATGAAGTCGATCCCACTGGGCGCCGCCCGCGACGACGTTGCCAACGGGGCCGGGCTGTTCGTGTTGCTGCGCGAGGCGGGAGAAGGTCTCTGCGAGGCCGCGCCGCCGGCAGAAGAGGAAAGATTGGCGAGGATGCTGGCGGACGAGGGGCCGGCGCCCGCCCGTCTCGCGCTGCTGCCGCCGCCGCCGCCGCCGCCTCCTCTCGCGAAGGGGGAGGATATCCGCTCTTCGGGTCGGCCGGCCACGCCGAACTGGCCGGTCCAGGTGGGCGTGCCGATGGGGACGGACCGCGCGGCTTCCCCGGCCCGCCGGAGCTCTTCCGCTGCTTCGGCGGCCACGCGCTTGGCTTCGGCCTCGATGATCTTGGGATCGGCCCGGACGACGCGCTTGCCGTTCAGGATCTGGTCGTGCTCCAGCGCTGAGTGCACGCCGGAGCGCGCGAAGATCTTCTCCATGATGCGCGCTTCTTGGTTTGCATTACCCGGGCCGCTGCCGGCGGTGGGCTTGGAGTCGCTTTGTTGTTGCTGCTGCTGCTGTTCCTGTTCGCCTTGGTATTCTTCGATCGATGCAACGCCCGCCGCTTTGCGGATGTCCCTCTTCTCGTCTTCAACGTCTGCGGGGTTTGCAGCGGTTGAGGCTGTGGGTTTGGAGACATTGTTGTTGTCGCCGTTCTTGAAGGTCGTGGCTGCGGTGTCTTTGAAGATCTTGCTGGTCTCGGTGGCCCCTTGGTTATCCTCGCCAAGGGAGAAGAGATCGTGCAAGTCGCTCATCTGGAATGTCTGTCGTTGATTGGGGTCCTTCAGGATCTTGTTGGTGAGGAACTGCTTGAAGATCTGACGATGGTAGATCTTTTCCTCGATGGTCCCGGCCGTCATCAGTCGATAGATCGTGACGTCCCGCTTCTGCCCCAGTCTCCACGCCCGCTCGCGGGCTTGCATATCTGTCGAAGGGTTCCAGTCCGGATCGTAGATGATGACCCGATCCGCACCGGTGAGGTTCACACCCAGTCCGCCAACCTTGGTCGTAAGCAGGAAGACGTGAAGGTCTGGGTCGTTGTTGAACTCATCAACCATCGTCTGCCGGTGCTGAATCGGGGTAGTGCCATCCATTCGGCGGTAATTGAATCCAGACATCGCCCGCACGAACTTTTCCAAGATGTCTAACATGATTCGATGTTGGCAGAAGAGTAGGGTCTTGTGTCCAGTGTCCTTCCATAGTTCAAGCAGTGATTTTACGACCTGCATCTTGCCAGATCTGCTGCCGCTTCCGTAGTCCTTTGCGGAGGACTGGAGTTTGTGGCTTGGGAGGTCGGGATGGTTGCAGATCTTTCGTAAGATATCAACACCGTACAGGACCTGTCGGCGTTTGTTGAGGATAGCTTGCATCTCGGATGAGCCAAGGAATGCCTCGTATGCCTCTCGTTGCACCTTGGTCAGTTTGCAGAAGAGAACCTGCTCGCTTTTCTTGGGAAGGTCTGAAGCCACGTCTATCTTGAAGCGCTGCAGAAGATAGGGACTGATCGCGTCTTTCAGAGTCTCAGCACACTTGACGGCGGTTTGAACCTGCAGGTTCGAGGCGTTTGCATAACCACCTTGACGGATCGGGAACTCAAATTGATTGCGAAAGTTCACCAGAGTCCCCAGTCGCATCGGGAAGACGAAGTCGAATAACGACCAGAGCTCTGTGAGGTTATTCTGCATGGGGGTTCCTGAAAGAATGATCCGATGTGGCGTCCGAAGCTCTTTGCAGTGAATCGTAATCGAGGTATTCGGGTTGCGGATCTTGTGGCCTTCATCCAGAACAGCGCAACCCCACTCAATTGGGATCGCAAGAGAGGCGTAGGTCTGTAGACCCGAGTAGGTCGTCACTAGCACATGTCCTTCTTCGACCACGCGCTTAACGACTCTGCGCGCCGCTTTCAATCCATTGGGCATACGGCGAGAAGTGGCAGCATTCCAGGCCTGGGACAGTAATGCGTCCTCCCTGCTACTTTCACTTCGAAGGTTGACCATCCCACTGCCTGAGGTGTGTAAGATGGAGACGCGAAGAGGGGGCCACCAGCGGTGGAATTCATTCACCCATTGCTTCATGACGGTTGCGGGGCACACGATGACCACAGGCCGAGTGAGCTGTTTGCTGTAATGCAGACCAGCGATGAACGCAATGACCTGAATGGTCTTGCCCAGACCCATCTCATCACCGATGATACCACCAACCTGCTGCTGCTGCAACTCCCACAGCCACTGTACTCCAGTCTTTTGATAGTCAAACAACAAGGCATGGATATCGCCAGGTATACGATATCCGTTGTCAAAATGCATATCTGGGACAGTTGGGTGAGGCTTGAACCACTCGTCTTGTTCCTGATCTTCGTCTGGAACCGGATCTTCATTCATGGCCACATCGCCATCTTCTCTTGATTGTTGGGTCTTACGCGCACGTTCTCTTGCTGCACTCCTGCGACTGACCCACGATTGCAGTCTTGTTTGATACACTGTCTCGTTGCCATCGTCCAGCCCGCTGAAGTCTTCCATCTCGTCAGAAGACGTCTTACTTTTCTTCTTCTGGGACAATGCTCGCTCTGGCTGCCCTTCAGGAGCCCAGTCCTCTTCAAAATCGAGCTGTGACTCTTCACCTTCCGACGCCACATAATTGGAGTCATCATCTTTCTCCGACTGAGTGCCACCGGGAGCTTCTGAGCTATAACCCAGCTCCTCTTGTTTCTCATGAATCTTCTTATAGGGCTGCGCATGCCCCAGCTTTCGACGTTTTACACTTCGAGTGTCCGCCGACAGATCCGTGCTGTCAGGGCCACTGGACACATCGAAATCAAACCCCGGTTGCACAAGGTTCCGGTGTGAGACTGCCGATCGAGCCTTGAAGCGTTCCAGAGCCTCTGCCTCATTATGCTCGTCCTCGGCGTCGATAAGAGCATCCTGCAGACTAGCAAGCGGACCGTGGTCCGGGCCATGACTCATGTTCATGAAAGGGGTGATCTTCCCCGTGCGAATGAGGTAGTCCCTCCGAGACTCGTTAGGTAGGCGTCCGATTCTCGAGGCCTCGCCACCACCCTCTTGCTCCCGACTTCTGTCGACGATGCGCTGCTGGATATCGACAAGGTCATTGGCCAACGCCGTGTTGCGCGACTCGAGGGTCTGGAGTTCATTCTGCGCGCGCACCCTCGCGGCGGTCCCGATGGGCTGGGAAAGCCGCTGGTGGAGTTTCAAGATCTGTGACTCGACCTTCCTGCGAGAAGAACAGTGAGCGCCGCTCTATGGAGCATAGCACGGAGGGGGGCCGGAGTGATCATACTGTTTCTCGCGGGTAGTCCGCTCCAGTCTCTTGGTGTCGCGCTCATCGGCCTGTTCCAGGAGCAGCTTGTCTGCCTGCGAGCGTGGTTACTAACTCATTCGTCCAGAGGTGCATCGCATGTGGGGCCATGCTACTTGCCTGGCGGGCGATGTCTCTCTCCAGATCATCCTGATCGCGGACATCGGCCTGCAGCTCTTTCAAGCGGCTCGCCTCGTTGATCGCCACTGAGGGTCCGGACGACTGTGCATATGTGACAGCTGCGTCAGACGACTTCGTTGGGTCTTGTTTCACAGGGTCTGGGGCACTTGAGCCTTCCGCCTCGTGCTTAATACTCGTTTCGTCATCCATGATTGGATCGGCGTTTAATCATATCTCTTGAGACCCAGGTTTGCTGCTTTTCCTTGCGCGGTTACAGCTTATATGGGAAGAGCGGATCTAGCGGCCTTGAAGTAGACTTGAAAGTACAGGCCAGGAATCCGATTCAAGATGATGATGGTGGAGCCTTACGGTGGGTTGCTGTAGAGCAACACACACTGTGAGCGATGACCTAGGCGGTGATCATCAGTGCCTGAGATCTCAGGTTACGGGTTGCCTAGAAACTTGGATCGGATCACGTGCCTCTTGCCTGTGCAGTACGTCATTTCCCTACAGACTTGGTGGTGCTTGTAGCACAGCAGAGAGTCCAAGTACACAAGTATCTAACATCATAAGAAGCATGTCTATAAGTCGTTCCCTGCTCAACTGTGCCTACAAGATCGCACGAGAACAATCACCGATCGACTAGCGGGTCGCCTGCATCTGCTGTGTAATTATGCTCATCCAGCTGCAGCTATCCTTATAGTGCCAGCGATCGCGAAAAGAACTTTTTACATACTCCGTACTGTTCTAGAATTCATGAACGACATCTTACTCTGGCTTTCAAAGCTCGGTTTCACAGCTGATAGCGGTCGGACCAAGCCACATGGGATTGGTTCCAGCGACCGCTTGCGCGTCCATCTACCTCCCTTGAACTAAGATAACATAGCGGGGAACTTTGACACTATCGAACGATGGATCCCCTCGATTAGGGGCGGCCTCCTACAGTCACACATGTTCCTATAGTCTAATCAACCCATCCGACGATCCACACCATAAAAATAAACCTCACCTGAGCAAGAGCCAGTGGCAAGCCTTACACAAACCACATTTCACGAATTCCGATCTGCCGATCGCACAAATCCTCTCTACGATGAAAGCAGCACTAGTGGTAGTCGATATGCAAGAGGACTTTTGTCCGCCCGTACGTTTCTTCCTCCCTCAAAAAAACCCCGAATCCAATCTACGAAAGCACTAGAGAACTCAAACTAACCACTTACGACTCCCGAAAACAGAACGGCTCCCTAGCCGTCGAAGGCGCGCGCGACCTCGCCCCAACGATCAACAGGCTCCTCGCGCACCGGGGCTTCAGCTTCCGCGTCTCCTCGCAGGACTACCACCCGGCGGACCACATCTCCTTCGCCCCGAACCACCCGGCGCCCAACAACGTCCCCTTCGAGTGTACCATCACGCTGACCAACCCGGCGCCGGGCAAGCACACCGACACCAAACCGCAGCGGCTGTGGCCGGTGCACTGCGTGGCGGACACGCCGGGCGCGGCGCTGATCCCGGAGCTCGACGCGGCGCGCATCGACCTGTTCGTCAGGAAGGGGCTGGACGCCCGCGTGGAGATGTACTCGGTGTTCGCGGATGCGTTCGGCAACCGCAACAGCCTCGAGCGGAACCGGCGCTCGGTGGATTGTGATCTCGAGGCCGAGCTGCGGGCGCGGGGCGTAACGGCGGTGTTCTCGGTAGGGGTGGCGGGCGATTACTGCGTCAAGTGCACGGCGATCGATGCGGCGAGGGCCGGGTTTCGGAGTTATTTCGTGGAGGATGCGACGCGGTGCGTGGATCCCGGGGAAGGATGGGAGGAGGCGCGGCGGGAGTTGAGGGAGGCCGGGGTCGTGATTGTGAGGTCGGATGGGCCTGAGATTGCGGGTTTGGTTGAGTGATTCGATGAGTCTTTGAATGGCACGGGGGAAGGGGTGTTTTAAGGGTTGTTTAATGGAGGTGCGTTGGTTGGGAAGGCGATGGATTGGTGACTGGACTGGCGCTAAAAGAGCCCCGAATGCTTGGGATTGTCTCGCCAAGTAAAAACTGTTATTTTGTGGGGAACAACTCACTTGGCACGTCACTTCTACCACTAGACTATACTATATTTAAGATGATCATTGAGGATGGCCAAATTTAGGTCGGCTCCGTCATACTGTTTGGATACTGTAGGATTGAATGTGCAGGCCCAATTACCCAATTATCGGACTGCTATCACACACGGTGTCCTGTACAGTGAGTACTGTACATGCCTGATGACAGCCTCTGTACTCCGGATGCGGGCGATGATCTTCACGGCCCGGGGGGAAGGGGTCTCTGACTGACCCAGAACCATCAACCAGAGACTCGGAGTGAGGCGTCACTGCAGACTCCTACTGGCGAGCCGGATATATGCTATCGAGATATTGTATCGAAGTGGCACACCATATGACTTTCATTAAGCTGGATAGATGAGACTTACTCCTGAAGTCAACCCACTATACCTACCCCTAACAAAGGAGGTGACAATCTACTCCGTACTCCGTACACTCCACTCTATCGGTAGAGACAATATCGACGCCTCATTCAGGAATGCACAGGGACTCGGCGTCTGCCTTATTGACTTCCTCACCTACCTATAATCATCATCAGGCAGTTGCACTCTCCTTTCTCAGCCCTGCACATCCATGCCTTTTCCAATGATCGCCATTAGTTGCCACTTCCGGACCCGCCGCAATGCCCGTTAAGGTCATACCAACAGGGTCAGAATAAGGTTGACAGTGAAAGCTACGGGGGGTAAACTACCTACAAATCACACTCCCTCCTCCCTCCGCCCTCTTCCCCTTCTCACTTACCTGTCAAAGCTGTATACACCTCGGCGGCTCCTTTTATTGTGCCCAGAATCCTTCCCTTGTCCTCATTTCTAGACCTTCGTCCCGAACAAACATCCCCACCCTGCAACCCTCCACTTTACCTTAACTCAGGAGAGAAGATGCCACCCACAACGGTCGCAGCAATGCCAACAACAACGGCCTTCCCCCCGCGCCAGCGACAGGGATACCTGACCGAGAAACTCCCACTAGCCAGCGTGACCGACTCCCCCACACCAACCATCTCAAACCACAACGCCCCCAAAGAAGAAGCACCAGAAGAAACATCCCTACCCTACTGGCTCATGAACATCCCCCAGTCCCAATGGACCCCCACCTGTCCCAGCTACCTCCGCGACATCTCGCAAAAGAACATCGACATCCTCTCAACCCCAGACCACCTCTACCAAAGACAAGGATGGAACCTCGTCACAGAGCTCGTCCGTATGTGCGTTGCGTTGCGTTGCGTCGCGTATCGTATTCGTTTATCTCATATAGCGGAAGCTATTTGCGTCACAGACCCAGTCGCTAACCGAGATCCCCCGGTGATGGGAATGATGGCCAGGCACGAACCGAATCGACCGCTTCCAGCGCCTCCCCAGCGATCTGCGCCGGTACCTGGAGTACAAGGAGCGGATCATCGCCGAGCACGGGTCGATCATGCGCTTCGTCGTGAAGGAGCGCTTGCGGTGGGGGGAAGGCCGGCAGAGTGATTTGCGGGCCAAGGGGCGGCCGTTCGAGTTCGATGGTTTGTCTCCTTTGTGCCCTCCGACTCATTCCAACAACAAAGAAACTTCGATCAAAAGGTACAAGCTAATCCCGCCTAATCCACAAACGTAGAGGACCTCCGCATCTTATACAACGACTGGCCCTACGGCCTCGAGCCGGACATCGTGCACCTCGTGGTGTGGACCAAATTCCCGCTGGAGGAGGATCCGGTCGTTGATGATTTGACGCCGCGCGCGCGCCGCGAGATCGACGGGTTCGTGCGGCGGACGTTCCATGCGCGCATGGCGCCGGAGCAGGTAACTTTTCTGTTCTGGAGGGGTCTGAGTCAGTGGAGAAGTGCGGTTTTTGCTGATCATGAGGTGATTCCCCAGGTAACCTGGTTCCGGAACTGGCGGTCGCTCAAGTCGGTCCATGCCGTCGAGCATTTCCATGTCATGCTGTATCGGCCCCCGCCCGCGTTTTTGGAGGAGATTACCCGCGGCGATTGCCCGGCGCACGTGATCGGGTAGCTTGGCTGCTTGGTTCAAGGAGGTTGCGACCTTGGGGTCTCCGAAGCGGATTGAATGGGATATTAGCGCGATCTGACATAGACTTGCTAAAGGAGGTTGTTTGATGTTGGAAGATGATTTGCTCGTGCTGCGATCATATAGGGCTAATTTTCTTTAAGCTTTGAATTTTAACGTAGTGCAATTTGTTATGGCCTTATCGCACTACAACCATGGGTTGACTAGCACACCCAGGAACTATACTACTAATATCGAGAATATTGCTGCTAATCACCTATCTTGAACAGAGAAAGTATTGAATTGATTTTAATGATTATCATAGTATATACCGCAAGTTCTATCAGTTGGCTTATCAGCGCCACCGCCTGCCAAGCGCTGGATGGAAATTATGCAAGTTCAAATGTACTTTACAAGCTCCGCTGATATCCGTCATATCCAAGCTTCAAGAAAGTAAATAGACAGACAGTCAGAGCTGAAACAAGGGAAGAAGAATGGCCCCAAGGTGGGCTAATCGACCGGTAGAGGCCAAACACTCTACCACCCAAAGATGTCGCCGACGCTAAGTATGCTCCACCGCACACCGGCCACGGAGAACAAGATAAGGACAATGTCGACGACACCCAGTACAGCGGCGCCCATCATGAAGCGGGGGCTGAAGATCCGGTACAACATGAGGTGACGGCGCAGATGGCCGGCCCACATCGTGGTTGCCACGTTGATGGTGGCGAAATACAAGATGTAGGTGCTCGCCGCTTGGATGGCGTCGGAGAGGATGCGGATCGCCGGGTTGCTCGCCTTGCTCGTCGACGTGGCTTCCTCGCTGAGTTGCAGAGGCCGCTTCCAGAGGACGGTCAGGGGAACGGCGACCGCGGTGAGGATCTGGGGACCGAAGGTGTTGAGAACGACGAGGACCGGAGACCAAGGGTACTGCACCGAGGACAGAGGAATGAAAGCGGACTCCCACTGGATGCTGCTCAACGTGGCTTGGTGGCCCGTCTTGAAATAGTAGAACGAGCCCAGAACCGCCAAGATGATTGGTCCGATCGACGAATTGCTAGTCACCAGGCCGTTGGTGTCAAGGATTTCGAGCAAGGAGAGGATCTGCCAGAGCAGCAGCCCCATCGCTCCCTGGCCCATGGGCTTCTGCATAAGGATAATGCCAAGGCAGAAGTTGACGACCAAGAGAAAGTACCGCGTTCCATAGACGTTGCCGAAACCCAAGATTGTGACGGTCGTTCTCCCTGCTGACGAGAACGAGAATGTTTTACCCTTGGCTTCAGAGTCGTTGTTGCCCTGGCTGACGTTGATGCTGATGCACGGCTTGGTGTAGATAAACGCTGTCGTGCCTGCAACAAAAGCCAGAGCTAGGACAAGCTGAGCCAGGAAGACCCGGCTTGACTTCAATGTCTCCTTGCTCACGGGTAGCCACTCACCATCGTCGGCACCCTCGAGCACCCAGAAGACAGCAACCACGAATAGCCCCAGTCGGAACGCAGACCCGATCCAGAGAGGGGCGGCGCCTTGATACGATTTCGAACCTGCGTAAAAGGACTTTACAACGGTCGGGAGTACAAAGGCCAAGATCAGGGGGATGATGAGCTGCCAAGGGGCGGAGGTCGAAGATGTTGCCGACGAGTAGTAAGTCGACCGACAAAATGGCATTTGCTCTTCGCGACACAGGCGAGACATAGATGCCACTCTTCCCAAGATGACGAAGAGAATGGAATGATAGACACCTAGAACCCGGTCCGCCGTCAACTTCTGGCGCATCGAAGATACACCAGCAAGAACACCAAAAGTTGAAAGGAAGAACAAGAGTATTTCATCTTCCCAGATAGTGTAAGAATTAGAAGCAAAGCCGACAGACTGTGCAACGGTGAAGACGATAGCAAGCCAACCCCACAATGTCTTAGGTAGAGGCACTTTTAGTTGCCTGGGGCTGGAGAACAAAGACCATGAAGCACTGAGGATTCCTCCTGTGGCTGCGAATAAGACTGATTCTTCGATCAGCGGGCTAGCACCCACACCTATAAGCACAAGCAGAGCGCCAGTGATAGCACCCAGACCAGTGCCTGCTCCAACGGATGTAAGCAGAGCGTTATTGAGCTCTGTCTGCCGCGTCCTGATACCACGTGCATAAAACACAAGCAAGACGATTGCAGCAAGCAGAATAGCGATACCCTGGGCCATACTCCACTCGTCAAATTTGGCCCATAGGCTGCGACAAACTTGAAGGGTGTTCCGCTGGTAGTGCCTATACGAGTCGTAGACCGGTCGCAGTGTAGAGGGATTGGATTTGCCCACACAGGGGATATTCTGCCAGTCGTTCTCTGCTGCATTCCACAATTCAATTGACTGAAGGCTGTTGCCTTCTTCCGCCCCGCGTACCGATGCATACTCTTGCTGATAGCGTTTGATCTGAGCCGCAGTCAGACGGTTAACAGTCACTAGGTTCTTCCAGTTGTTGCCATTAGGCCCGACAAATGCTTCCTCAATCGGCGAACCAAGATTGTTGAAAGGGATGGGTATGCCGAGAAGAAGAGACAGCGTGGGCACAAGATCAACCTGCGGAATGAACCGGTTGCTGGCCTGTGCGGGCGGCTTGGCATTCTCTTCGCTGGTCCGCCCAAATACGCCCTTCTTCGAATACATCCACAATGCGGCATTTACTTCATCATCCGACTCGCCGCCGTGGTCACCCTTGGAATCCATGCCGTGGTCACCCATGACTACCAGAAGCGTTTTGTCGTCCAGCTTTGCCATCACATCGCGGATCAGTTTGTCCATTTGTTGAAGCTTCGCGGCCATTGCTGGGTGGTTGGGTCCGTAGCGGTGGCCCGCATGGTCGACTCCGAGATAGTGCCCGAAGACAACGTCCCATTTGGTGGCATTAGCAGGATGGAGAAGGGGAATGAGATGCTCCGTCACGCCGTTGTCAACAGTGTGCAGGTCCCAAACATTGAATGAATCATAAGGGCGTGTCATATTCGCATCGAAGTAGTCGGGGAAGAGTGACTGCCACGTATCATCACCCAAATGTACCAGAGTCTTCCCGGCCGCGCGGAGCTGAGCAACAATGTTATCCTCGTCAATGGCTGTTCCGGCAAAGTTGGAGCCAGCATCAACAAAAGTCGGCAGTGTTCCGGTTGTCAGTCCTTTCAGCCGCTGCAGCGTGGTTGTTGGCGGGTCAGCGATAAACGGAAGCAAAAAGGCGTTTTCCGGTTTGTTCACAGCTGTCTCGTAGAGGACGGGGATGTTATTATAGAATAGGGGGTCTGATCCCGCGTCCACATCCGAGGTAAAGGGAACCGTAAAATCATATCTCAGGGCATCGATGATGAGAACGACGGCCTTGTCAAATGACTTCTTATGCCAACACCCGTCATTTTTCTTGACACCTGTATCGGCTAATGGAAGCACATCGCATGAAGACTTGTTTTCCAGGACCATTCTAGTCAACAAGAACCCTTTGGTGAAGAAGAATATCCCCACGACATGCAGAAACCTATTGGTGGACGAGCATGAGCGGCGCGATTTCGCTGATTATCAGGGAGTTTGGGTCTGAAAGGTGTGGCTTACAAGAACCACACAAGCACTCCGAGAAGACCCAAGTGTTTCAATTTGAAGTCCCCTTCCAAGCCATTCAAAAAATTTTGCGCATTGTTGTTGGATACTTTGGGCACAGGTGTTTTGCGATCAGTGCGATCTGAGGCTCGCCCTGGAGAGCTTGTAGAAGCGGTCGCTGCATTCTCCATATGGTGACTCTCACGGCGAGAGCCTGTGTCGGTTGAGGACATCATCACAGGATGCGATGCTTAGCTGTGATGGGGTGGGTGAGTGACAAACGTGGAGCCGAAGAGCGGGGTGTGTGGCATTAGAACAGGGAGGTCAATGGCTCCTAAAACAAGGATCTGGTTAGCTTTTTGTTTTGGAGAGTTCTGCGTTGAGAAGCTTCAGAAGATCTTCAAGACTAACAAGAACTCATTGACACAAATAGGAGGTAATTGCGGTTCCTATTTTTTTTTTCTCGCGATTGCGCTTCTCCCTGTCGCTTGACACTTCGACGAACGGAATGGGGGGGGAGCTCAGTACGGCGCGAGCATGGTTCGCGCAGTATGAATCGATCCGGTCAAGGTGATGGAGGTCTCAGGGGCGAAAATCGCGCAGTTGAGGAGAAGGAACGAAGCATTGGGTAAGGGAAAGAATCCAGTGGACTCGATGCGCAACCCCCGTGACGTCGGGAAATCGGCGCTTTCGCTTTCGGCATCCCCTCCTTTCCTCCAATATTTCCGCCTTCATTGGCCGGAGCGGCTCGGAACATTCAAAGAACCCTGTGCGGTAGAAAGCGGGTCTGCCACTCGCCCACCACGCCCGTTTCGGCGATCCTGTTATTCCGCGCAATGTTTCCCCCATGTTGTGAATGCACGCAGAGCATACTCCATACATAGGCCCAGTATGCAACCCAACTTAGGTGGGGGGATCAGCTATCCTGTAGCTGATGTTCAATTACAACGCAACATTCAGAGAGCAAAACGTCACTGAGAGCTGATCCATGTAATTTACAGATATTGTGTCAATCTTGGTTCTAGTTCCTAAAATATATGTTTGCAGTACCAATGCACGGGCAAGTCAAGATACTAGTCCAGGATGTTATCTCCAAATTCTGGCGACAATCTCATGTCATCTTATCGTCTATCAGGAGTCATTGTACAGTCAATATCTTAGTAGTCTTAATCGAACTGCCCGCGAGGCTTATCGGACTGACATCCCTCGTATAACTGTTTGACCCCTCATTCTCCGCACGATGCATAGTCTGTGACTTCCTCTTCAATCGAGTATGCAAGCTTCCATTCTTCACAATAAGACAATATGTCACTTCCAGAGTCCTCAGTCAGGGGAGACTTCAGCAGGGTTCCAGTCATTGATCTGACCAATCTGCGCAGTCCCCAGCTTGATGAACGACGAGCGCTAGCAAGAGAAATCCATGATGCCTGTATGCAAGTTGGGTTTTTCTATATCACGGTCGGATAGCTCAACATCTGCCAGTATAATGACGACTAACATAGACCGACAGAATCATGGAATTTCCCAAGCGACTATCTCCGCACTTCATGAAGCAGCGTGCCAGTTCTTCGCTCTCCCAGACGACCGGAAATCACAATATTCCATAGCAAACTCCAAGGTCACTCTGACCAGAATTCTCTGTGTGGATTTAATTCTGACAAATAGGCCAGAAATTTCGCGGCTTCATGCCTCTGTATGCTGAGCAAATGACTGGACTCGAGCTTCAACAGCCAGACCCTGACAATGTCAGCACACCTGGAGCGTACTCGGAGTCCTTTGATGTGGGCTATGAGCTTGCAGCAGATCCTCAAAGAGAACCGCATGACTCCCTTCCATCTGATGACTTTGGTCTCTATGGCGACAACCAGTGGCCCTCTGAGGACGAATTGCCTGGTTTTCGAAGGACTTACATCGAATACTTCGCAGAGGCATTAACTCTATGTCGGTCCTTGATGCGAATCTTTGCTTTGGCACTCGACTTGCCAGAAGAGTTCTTCGACCCGATGATGGAGTACCCAGGCGCAACATCCAGAATGTTACACTATCCTCCACAATCGGCAAATGATACGTCCAGGATCGGCTTGGGCGCTCATACGGTGAGTTCATGGTTCTCCTGATTGATATAGATCAGCATCTTGCTCCGTGCCTTCCAGAAACCCTGATCGATAATGCAGGACTATGAGTGCATCACCATTCTTTCCCAGGACAAAGTGCCAGCCCTGCAAGTGCGTAACTCTAGCGAAGAGTGGATCACTGTTCAGCCCCTTCCAAACACGCTGGTGGTTAACATTGCGGATTGTTTGTCCATGTGGTAAAATCAGTATGGCAATTGCGAAGGGAAGATAGTAGCTGAAAATAAGCAGGACAAACCGAAGATTTAAATCGACTGTACACCGGGTTATCAATATCACCGGGGAAGAGCGATATACGATCCCCTTTTTCTTTGGGGTGGACTATAACACCACGGTATCAGTTTTGCCCAGCTGCATATCAGAAGACAGCCCGGCATGTCAAAAGCCTTTCGAGGCGGGAGAGGTAAGTAATATTCCAATGGCAATTTGAGTTCTGCCACTGACATGGTTCCAAAGTGGGTGCGCCGTCAATTGGCAGCCACGTATGTTGGATACGGCCAACGGCCGCCGGCCGAACAACGTTGACCCTGGACATAAGCAACGAAATCGGGTAATGCGCATCTTTCACCAACTACTTTATCATGATTGATTTGTGCTGATCAATGCTTTTCTTTGTATTACGCGAGATTGTCAAGATATGACAATTGTCGACCTTACTATGTGGTCAGTCTCCAGCGATGGTAAATCACTGTATAAGCAGTGGAAGAGCCATAAAGTGACTGTCGAAAGAACTTAATACATTATTTACTCTGTATTGATTATTTGAGGTACTGGTCCATGATATATGCTTACAGATAGTAACTGAAACCGTATTATCCTGTCTAATCATTCTTTGAAGTTGACAGGCTCGATAGTCTCAAGAAGAACAGGGGGTAAAGACCACGCAATTTCCAATGCCATTGTGCTCCGCAGCTGTGTGATGACCTTTGAATCTCTGATCCAATGCGAACATGTTCTTCTCTATATTACTTTTTACCTATTGGCAGTAGAATTTTGTGCAGCATTTTCACAAATAGGAAGCCAGGATTCCACCATAGCCAGCAGCCTCACACATCAAATCACTGTTCTGAGCGACTCGGTTGCTGCTCTTGTGCTCAGTTTTGTGTTCCAAGATTAATTCACATCATCATCACTGCATGTAGAAAATTATGACACTTTACCTTTGAGTAGGGCGGGCATGGTTTCTGGTCACCTTCTTGAGACTCTACCCTAATACCCTAAGAACAAGACTCCCAGTCGAAGGGCATAGAACGCACCTGGGCGATAGATACTTGAATGTAATTATACAATGCCAAGAGGACTGTAGAAAACTAGGGATCAAGCAATTATCCAGTGGGGTACGAGGTGGCTGGCTTTCGGGTGAGGAACTTGCGAGTTCTGAACCTCGTCTCCCGGCGGCGGATGTTGTCCCTCCCCAGAAAACGATAGTTACCACCACCACATCTTCCTCCACATCCACATCCACCACCACCACACCTCCGTTTCCCCAGAAACCCATCGCTCCTACCAATACTCAACAAATACCCACTTGATTCTAATCCTCAAAGTCAGTCATATAGTATAACTCCTCTCTCTTCATGGATGCCATTTCCATCTTACGTATGGCGGCCACAGAAAACCTACTATCCTCGTGATGTCATTGACTTCTGCTCGTCCATGACGCATCGCAGTCGTCGTTGACCGACAACAGCAATGCCCATGACACCACGACTACGCTGATTTCACGTGGCTTATGCTCGGTCTGCCTGGAACTATACCGAACAATCTCTTCTTGACCAGATTTACCACAGCGACAGACTTCGCGCCGGGACTCCCGATCCACGGTTACCATGCAGTCAATTTGTCTGTAACAATCCCCGAAGGATGTGGTGCTGAAAGGACGACAATTATGATGTCAAGATTGCTCAGCATTCGGATTTCCGGGACTCCCTTAACATCATTGACCTCGATGGTGGTGCAAAGTTCATATAGTGCCTCGTAACCACACATGAGCCAAACGCAAACCATTCATGGCTGTGCTGCCCCGGTTTCCTACTTCGTTGAATTGAACGCAGCATGGCTTCCAATAACGCAATGGAGCCAATTGCAGTGAACGGAGGCGTCACGTCGCTTCCAATCCTGCGTGAGACAGTCAACACTGTCTCTGAAGAATGTCCCGCACGCCTGGGCCTAACGGCGGAGGAGATCGAAAACAAAGCCCCGAGTCTCGATGTCTTCTTCGATACTATTGCGGCAGAGCGACTTCGGCGCATGCCTGCGGACGGTAGTCGATTGGACGGTGTTCTCAGACGAGCTTCGCGTCTCGCTGTTGCTGTTGGTTCATTGCGCGACGCAGTGTCAAGTTACATGGATGGCGCTGATGAAGCCACTGCGCTTGTCTGGGGGACAACGCTGCTCCTGCTTGAGGTATGTGATTCTTTCCACCCGATATCGCAAGCTATGTTCTAACTAGAAATACAGATGGGTATCGACCAACTCGACGTAATTGAAAGCCTGTTCGGTCGCTATGGTCGGATCACTATGGGTATCTCGCTCCTCCTCCAGCAGGAAACCTACTTCCCTACATCTCGACCTCTGCAACAGCAGGTTGCCGAGATCTACGCTCATATCTTGCAACTTGTCGTCCACGTAGCTTGGGAATATCGCCAAGGAGCGAAGACCCAGCATTGGCAGACTATGAACACGGCTATCGATATGGCCTTCTTCCGCTACTTCAACCGCTTCGCTACTCACTGGCGTCGTGTATCCGAGCTTGTGCTGCAATCAGGAATGGCTAAACATCAGACCTCAGTCAATTTGTCGGTCATTTATCAGTTCCTCGAGCTCCAAGATCGTCCGTTGCAGATGCTTCTTGAAGGCCAGAACCACTCTTTAGCGGACGGATCCTTCTCCTGGTTCGAGCCACATCTGACTACCTTCGCCATGAGTCGACGAAGTCTTATGATGATCCGAGGAAATCCCGGCTCAGGGAAGAGTGCGCTCGCTCAATGGACTGTCGAGCGACTTCAGGCTTCCTCGGAGTATGATATCTGGAATGTCATTCCGATTATCATTAGATCGGACGTACCCATCACAACGCTCACGCTGAGCATTCTCAAGGGGATTCTGATCCAGATCCTTGATCACTCAGTGACTAGCCGCAGGACTCAAGATGCCATCTTGACTGCTGTGACCGGCGCTATCGAGCTGGCAGTAGCTGGTGCGACCGACCCTCAAGTAGAAGGCCAGCTTTGGACTGCCATTCGCGCTGCCGTACAGTCCAATTTGCACTTTATGTTGGTGGTTGATGGGTTCGACCAAATGAAGCACGCTGAAACAACTGTCAGCGCATTTTTGGGATTGCTACAAGACACAGTGACCGATACCCCTTCCAAGTTGATCATTTTCAGCCGACCCATGTCTAAGGATATACTGCCAATCCGCGAGACCACGAAGACACACCAGGTTGCTATGAATGCCGCCACAATACAGCATGATCTGCAAGTCGCGGTCAGCGACATGATGACGGCCGATTCTTCGTTCTCTGGACTCGAGCCGTCTCAACGGGAGTCATTGGGGGCGGCAATCGTATCCCGCTCCCAGGGCTGCTTCATATGGGCACAGCTGGCCGTAGAGGCGATGCAGCAGCGAACGACTGTCAGCGATATGACGTCTGCTGTTGCAAAGATGCCCAATACACTGGGCGACTTGATCGACCACCATCTGCGTACTACCAATATCAAACGTCAAGGTGCGCAGAATCTTCTGGGGTGGCTAGCGGCCAGCGAGCGTCCCTTGCGCATCCCAGAGGTGGAACAACTTTTGGCAGTTGATATCAAGACACTGAAAGTGGCGCCTCGGACTTCTAACCTCGAGCGTGACCTCTTCCAGCCCCTGAAGCGTCTAGTCACTGTTCGTGATGGGTTTGTGTCTTTCCGTCATCCCATGATCCGGGAGCACCTTCAAGCGCGGGCTCAAATGCGTCAGGAACTGCCGTTCTCTTTGGCGGATGCTCATTTCGACCTTTTGATCCGCTGTTTAGCCTGGGTTCGCCGTACGGTCACTGACGAGGTCTCCCTCTCGTGGGACAAGATGAGCGTGTTTGTACGCGATCGTTACTTGGACGCTTATGTCTTACTTGAGTACACCGCACGCTACTGGCTATCGCATATGCTGGCATCGCCAATGGCATCTTCCGATCGTGAGATCTCTTTTGACGCAACATTTCGTCGTGCTCTACCCGACACTGTTCTTTTCGCCCAGCTTGAGCTTACCAACCGGGAGTCCCAATTTAGTCGCTCGAGCATTGTGGAACTATACCGGTTGGCTGTTGGTGTCCGTCGCGTGGTCCTGGGCAATGAGTCTCCCGCTCTTTTACAGAGCTTGCTTCTCAGCGCTCGTGCTGCCGAACAGACACATGCCAGCTGGGCTAATGATCACCTTTATGAGGCTTGGATGCGCAGTCGTTCGCAACTGGGACCTTCCAACAAGATTACCCGCGACCTCGAACAAATGCTTGTAGCCAACGGCCAAGCGGATCGCACTGCAGGCATGAAGACTGATGCTCTGAAGGACATGGCACTGTCCGGATGGGGCTCATCCGATATTGGCTTTGCGCAAAGACTGCAGTACCTTGACAAGCTGGTGAAATCTTATAATGCCAACAAACAACCCGATGAGGCATACTCTGCTGCTAAACAGTTCTACCACCAGACAGTGCAGACATACGGTGCTCATTCACCCGAAACTATGTCAGCAGCCGATTACCTCACCAAGAACTTTGAAATCGCGCCTCCAGACGAGTTGGCGTTGGAGCTTGCGCGAACCAAGTATGAGACAATGCTTCATTCAATGGATGCGACCGACCCGCGGCGAGTGGCCTATTCTCTCTATCTAGCCAAGATGTATGAGGAGAACAACCAGATCGGAAAAGCAGACGCAGTGCTGTCTCGACTGTGGGCAGGCCTATCTGCCCGGGGCTCCGATACCACAGACTCCTGGGATCAGAAAACAAGGGTAGCCTTCTATTACTCCCAATTTCTGCGTCGTCAAGGTCGTCCCGACCAGGCTACAGGCATACTGCGCGACCTGGAGGTAGATTTGGAGACAGGCGGCGGCGTGAATTCGCCACAGATGGTCAAACGTGCGGAGGAGCTTCGCAGTGAAGCCCGGCAAATGGGTCTGAAAGATATGGATCGTGCCCTTGCTCTGCAAATGTGGAAGTATTACAAGTCTTCCGGCCAGCAGTACACCCCCCAGGCTGTCTCTCTGGCCGAGTCTCTCACCGAAGGGATTATCCCCACCAAGAGCACTGCCAGCTCCATCGGCTCGCGCTTGTCGACACTCTCCCCTGAGGATAATGAACTGCTCCCTGGCTGGATTGATACTGTTGCATTAGCTGGCAGTGAGCGTGACTTAATGTCAATCCTAGCCTTATCTCACCAGCTGGCAAGTCAACGAATGGCAGCAGAGAAATGGCGCGAAGGCAATGAATGCGCCTGGGCAGTGCTCAAGCACCTCTGGCCTACTGTCGAGGATCCATACTCCAAGGCCAGATTCCCCTCGGAGCAGGCGCCTCTGATGGCCAGCCTTGCCCTCGATCATGCTTACTGTCTGTTCCGGCGTCTGGACGTGGCACTGGCTACTATCGTCTACGGAAATGCTTTCAAAGCATCCATCACCGCGGATCAAGTCGCCGTTCCCTCAGTCACGACTGTCGTCAAAACTGTCGTCGAATTCTATGAGACGACCTTCCAATTCGACAAAGCAATGGTGTTGCTGCACCAGGTTAGCGACTTCTTTGCATCGAGACTAGGCAGCAACGATAAGCATACCCTTGACAGTCGCTACTATGAAGCCGATTTAGCGCTTCGCCTTGACCGTCGTGCTGAGGCGGAAGACAGCTACAGTAAGATTTACAAGGCCTGCATCCCAGACGGCAGGGTAACATCATCTGGTGTTCGTGCTGCAGTAGCTTTGGTCACTTTGTACGAGCAAGACAAGAAGTGGGAAGATGCTCTTGATGTGTACCGGCACCTGTGGCCCACCCTCGTACATTTTGACGAGAAAGACGGGTACGACCGGGCTCTTTTGGAGGGTCTGCTTCCCAAGACCTACAGTGGATACATGTCCATCTTGGAGAACACTCCAACCGAAGCCGGGGATAATGAGCGGTATCAGGTCGCCTCGCAGCACCATCAGCTCTGCAAGAAACTGTATGGTCCTACAGACCCTCGAACCCGTGACGCGACGATGGCTCTTGCAGGAATCTGCTCTGGTCATCCTCAGCGTAGAAGCGAGGCACTTCAGCTTTACGAACAAGCTCTCAAGACCAATGACTGGGTTCCTTCTGCTGAGGCTTCGCGATCGCTCCCTGACATGACTCAGCCACTGCCTATGGATATTAAGCATCGCATGGCCCAATTATTTATGCTCCAGAAGGATACATCCCCGCAAGCCCGGGCCTTCTACACGGAAGAGCTTGCCTTGTCAAAGCAGCAGCAAGGGCTATCTGCACCAACGACGCACCTGTGGCTTCGTGAGATAGCACGACTGTATGCCCTTCAGGATAATCCAGAGTCCCGCCGCCAGGGAGCCGAATTACTTCATGAGCATGTCGACGAAGTCGTTCATGTCACCGCCAATCACGATACACTGGTAGAACGGGCCCATGGATTGGCAGAAATCTACCTTGAATGCGGATATATCGATGAAGGTTGGGAGCTCATAAACGAGCTGCACCAGCAGGTGATCCATGATACACCGGCTTCTCACCGCCAGAATCTGGATGAGTACCGACCTGCTGCATTCGTTGCGGCATTCGAGGAAGTGTTTGGTCGCACACGTTCTTCGCGACAGATCTTGGATGATTTGTCTCGCGAAGGGCGGGTATACAGCGTCTTCCAACAGCATCTGTCCAGCCATGATCTTATGCCTACCTTGGCGGCAGGCGACAAGCTGCACCAGCTGCAAATGGAGCAGAAGCGCAGCGCCGCGGCTCAAGACACCCAGGACAAGCTCTACGAATACTTCTGCAACACGCTCTCGGTGGCGCAACCGCTGCGGAAGAAAGATGCTGTGCACCAGTTTTACGTCATGTGCCGTCGCGAGTCGCCCAACGATGACTACAACATCAATATTGTGACGCAGGCCACCGGGCTAGTGCGAGACCTGTGCAACCGGTCGCGCTTCCAGGATGCAGCTGATGTTACCGGCGTCTTCCACTCATTTGTCCATTTGACTGACGGACTACGATTGCCGGAGAGCATCTTTACGGCCATCAAGCTTTGCCTGTATCTTTGCGGCTACAAGGTGAACAAGTGCACCGAAGCCACGACCGCGAAGAATATGTCGTTCGAGTCGCAAATGCTCCTGCAGGAGATCATGGCGAACGCGCGAGATCTCCCGATGGAATACGCCGAGCTGCCCTTCTCGGAGCTCAATGACTTGGTGACTGTCTTGGGCGAACACGAGATGTTCGAAGACTTGGAGGTAAGCGACAACTTGCCCTTGGCAGATTATTCACCAAAATCACCAAAACTAACATAACTCATAGTCTATCCTCACCGATCTCTGGACCTCCCGCATTGTGCAAAAGACTTGGTCTCTACCCGCTGTGGTCTGGATTGGTCGTCGGCTTGTGGAAACCCGGTACTGTCGCGGCCAGGTCGGCGCTGCAACGGCACTCGGCAAGGATATCTGCTACAACCTGCGCCAGGTCTGGGGTAATGCCGATCCGGTGACGCTGGAAATGAACAAGCTGCTGTCTGGCCTCTACACGGCCTCGGGCAACCATCTCGCTGCTGCCGCACTGCACGAGACCGCCCTTGCGGAGCTCCTGAACAGCGAGACCAGCGACCACAATGCGGCGGTCAACGCAGTGACCCAGCATCTAGAGTTGCTGCAATACGCCCAAGGACGCCTGGCCAAGGAGGGCCAGAGCGCGGCGATCGACGCCACGGCTGCCCAGGAACGGGTGCAGGACATTGCCACGAAGTTCGGCCTCTCCCCGACCAAGCTCGAAGCCGGCAAGACCGATGAATCGATGGGCATGTGGCAGCGCCCGCGCCGCTTCAGCCTGGACGTGGAGGAGCTTGAGACCCATCAGAACCATCTCCGCCAATCCAGCGGCTCGGCCCTGCTGACGGGCAACGGAGGGGCAAAGCGCCTCTCCATCACTGCCTTGTAATGGATGGGTTTTGGTGGTGTCAGGGGATGTAGCGTGATGTTGATATTGATTAACCCAGAATGCCTGTGTATTTGAAATGTTGTATATCCAATCCGGAAGACTAATTGGGTGGACATAGGGTCGTGTATAGTATGGAGTCAATGAATCTATTGCTTGGTTTGTGCATGTGCAGGTCTCTGGAAGAACCACAGTAAATTACATCGTATACCTGGAACATCTGCTCCTGAAATCAAGATGTATCCTCGTGGCACATGGCGATAAGTTCAACTACGATCCTCCATCACCGAACCCGAACTCAGTGTCCGATACTCCGAAGACTGTAGGCGTCTCGCTCATGGATACTGGCCAGTGTATATGCACCAATAGTAGCTTCATTATATGCTGTAAACACGCGTCTTGATACACACAAGAGTCCATGTACACAGACCCGCCCCAACTGCAATCCCCCCTAACCCTCCTCCACTCCCAATTCCGAATCCCCCCAGCCCTGCCCAGATTACTCCCCTAGACCCTCCACAGAACCATACCATCGTCGTCACCGGCACAAACACCGGCCGCCTCGGTCTCGCCGCCGCCTACCACATTGGGGCACAATAGTGGTACAGAGGGTGGCGTTGAAGGTGTTGGGGAGGGATACTGAGATCGGTGGGAGGACGTTGGTGGCCGGGGCGGTTGCGGGGTGGGAGAGTCATGGACAGTATATGTCGGATGGGGTAGCCAGGTCGCACGAGTTGTGACCAGTGAAGAAGGAAGACGCAGCTGAGGATGTGGGAGGAGTTTGAGTCGGATTCTCAAAGGTATTGGGTCGCAGGTGATGCAGAAATCTGTTGTAGAGCTCGTTCAGTAAAGACGTAATAGTCATCACCGCTCAGTCGTCTTGATCTTTGCGTGGCAACAGTCTTGTTGTATTGCTTCTATCTTACACCGGCATCATCAATTGAGTCATGCTTGCTATGTACTGTACTTCCTAGCATATATACATGCAAATTGCGGTCCTGTAAATCATATGCCCAGGCGCAGCAATCAGAACATCCCTCTCCGAGAACGGGCCCCCCATCCCTCCTCTTTTCCCACGCTCAGTCGCTCATACCGCTCGAGCATATCATGCATCCCAGTCGCCGCCGACGACTTCACTTCGCTTCCCATCCCATCAATGTAGCTGGGGTCGCCGTCAGCTTTGGTCAACCCCTCGGCGTAGTGGTCCCATCGGTCGGGCTGTTGGGACTCCGAGTCCTGCCGGAACAATTCCTTGATGCCGGGAGGGACGTCCGTGGAGCGTGCGACTCTCGATCCCTGGTTGCGAGAGCGCACGGACAGTTTGAAAAGATGAAACAGGTTGCGGCCCACCTGGGACCGACAGGCGATAATAGAAAAGGCACTGGTCAAAGTCAAGAAGTCTTGGTCAAGGATATCGAAGCTCTTCTGCTCGAGAAGAGCAAACAGCGCGAGGTTCACGGCGTACATGGCAAATTGGTGGGCGTGTTCCATTCCGAACTCAGTTCGCTGGAGTCGAGCGAGAGAGGCAATCGATCGCGCGGACGAGATGGCAATGGCAAACGGGTTGAACTGATCTTTGGCGTCGGACGTTTCGTTCTGATGGGACAATCGTGCATTGGGGCCGAGGGCATCGAAGCAAAGATTGATCACTAGTGTGTGATATCGCATCCTGTTACCCACATTAGCTTGGCCATGTAAGGGAAGAAGGGACGGCACTAACCAGAGGAGGATAATATGGGGGGCGGGCTTTTCAGCTGGATCAAAGCACGGCGGAAGTCCCCGCTGCCATTTGCGGAGCCGCAGATAGAGCTCCCGTTTGCGCTGATTGTAACCGGGAGCAGAGTTTCCTTCCTTGGACAAGCTCCGAGAGATGTCACGGGCAATGTCAGACAGCTGACAAGCATCATCGAAGTACTGACTCAGATAAGATAGTCGGGCGGGCCGACGAAGGGGGTAGGGAGTCCATATATCTCCTGCGCCTGCGTCATCCCGCGCAATCCGGTCAATGCTCACTGAGTTCACGCGACTTGGCTTGAGGAAGTTGGTGTGAACAACCCTGTGATAAAATTTGTGCGAGAATCTTTAGTCCATAGAATTCTTTTGATGAGGTCGGTCGGGACTTACGTGTCGATTTGATAGAGGCCCCAAGCGGTCCGCTTGATGGAGATAATCATGTCTTCAGACATCTGCGATGTCTTGAGCTCTCGCCTTTTGTGATTGATAATCCCTAGAGACTCTGCCATTTCGATGGCACGATGTAGCATGGCATAGCCATGATCACCATTTCCTGAGACGGAATATCTAAAAGGCATTCGATCATCAGGCACCGAAGGATTCGCAACGACAAGTGCAGTTACATGAGTAGGAAACTTACCTCTCGTAGAGGAGAAGGATCGCTTGCAGGGTCGGTAGTCGAATATCATTGCCTCTTTCGAATTGGTGTCTTTTCATGTGGCGCTCCGCTTCCGCGAGGAAGTCCGCACCTTTCGTCCTCACATCCCCCGGAACCGTGTACGCCTCGGAATAGGGTGAATAGTACTGTGTCGACGCCATCCCGGAACTTCAGTAACAGATCAAGGGCGACGGGCAGATTATCTGGACTTACGCATGCATTGGCGAGCAGCGCATTGACTAAGAATGGGCTGCAGAAATCTGAATCCACATTCCCCATCGCCATGTGCTTCAGGAAGGACTTGCGGTCCATAAATGCAAAGAACGGATAGTCCCATGTCAGATAGAGGGAAACTAGATGGGAGACGAGGTCGTCATCATCCGTGACGCTGGTCCAAGGCTTCGCGGGTACCCGAAAGGGAGCATTCCCCGTCAGATACCGGATATCCATCATCATGGGTCGGAACTTGGGTGCTTCACTTTCCACCTCAATCCCTTGCCAAATGCCGTATAGTTGTTGCAGCGCATGCGAATCCTTCCCGGCAGCGTGCATCTCGGCGAGAGTCTGGTCCAGATAGGAACGCACCTCTTCTATGGAGGCGCGTCTTCGAATGAGTTTTAGCAGGGCGTCTGCATGGCTGGGAACCGTCGATCGCACGACCTCGAAGAGATCGTAGAGCATATCATGATGATAGTTTGACGTGTCAGTCAGGTACTCGGCCACTGATTGACACGCCTCGGCCGAAGTCTCGTTGAATGCATCGTGCCCAGAGTGTGCTTGGACCATAGGCGAGTGAGGGCCATTCTACGGGGAGGATGTGATCGGTCAACAATCCAGTATTACAAGTTAAGGATGAATCAAGATGCAGGATCAGGGATTCACCTACCATCAGCTCATCCGACTGGGGAAGGGAGCGGGTTGGCTGAATCGGAGAGTTGCTAGGCGACATGGATGGATGCTAAGCATAAGATACTAGTGTAGGAGGTGATAGGGAGTGGTGAAACACGTTTCCGTCCAGCAGGTGTCAGGCCTCAGTCCTCACACACAAAGGGGGCTAGGTCAACCCAAATTTAGAAAGCCACATTGAAGACCGAATAAACGTGCGATATGCAGTTCTAGCGGTAGCGGGTAGCGGAGGGAGAGGGTTGTGGGATATGGTGGGATGGGATGGGAATAAGTGGATGAAGATAAAAGATGGGAGGGAAAAAGAATGCGGAAAAGGAAAATCCAAGGATGATGCAGTGGGTTGGATGGGATTGTGGGCGGTGCCTGAGACCCAAAACTGACTACACCATGACATCAGTCCGCTTGCCGCTTCAGTCCACAGTCTCTTTCTCCCGAGTCTCTCTTCTCGTTCTCTTATTGTTTCCATTCGGTATTCTCGCCGCTCTTCATCACCTGATCATCGTCATAGCTTATTGTGGGCCCGCAGGCCGCCCGCATCATCACACGAACACATACATTACCCTCGGAGAGGAAGTCCATCGAACCTCGCTGAAATCATGGAGTGTAATGAAAACAAGCGGCGAAAATAAAAACAATTGAAGCCCCTCAAAAAGTAGCACTCCCCAGCTGCGAAACAACATTCGCTAACATGAGTACAGCACATATGGAGCATGGAGTACAACGAGCTGCAGCAAAGCAAAGCAAAGCAACAGCAACAGCGGCAGCAACAGCTCGCTTCACAGCCCAGCCGAGGTCGCAAATAGGCGTTATTTAAGGTATGAGCTTCTCCAGCCACCCGGCGTGGGTCATCCCAGAGTTGGCCTCGGCAAATTCGATCCGGGGGCGGTTGCCGACCGTATTCTTCAATACGCATACGGGAGCCATTGTGGGCAATAGGCAACACCGTTTCTGTCCATTTGATTCGTGATCGCCGACACACTTGTTTTCAGCCCTATGGCTTTTAAATCCTCCAGGGCTGAACAATTCCTCCACTGCTCCGGGGATGAATCATGAAGCGGGATCGTCACGAGCCTAGTTGAGAATATGCCACCACCACGTCATCATCGTGATCAGCCACCTTTCCCCTAGAGGCAGTGGTCGACGGAAGGCCCATCCTAGTCCTTCGCGTAGCTGCATCTCCACCACTCGGCGCCAGTCGACATGGTGGGCGAAATGGAATGGGAAATGGTGTTGGCTGATGGACTTGATCGTGCAGTCCATCTTCGGTTGCTCCTGCAGCTCAATGTGCGGCTGGAGCAAGGCGGGCTGTTCGCCTTCCAGGTCCAACTCGATCCGCAGTGACCCTTGACTAGTGAACTGTCGCACCTGCACAGCGAGATTGTGGTGATGATGGCTGTGACAATGATGGTGACCGTGCTCGTCAATATCACGAACAATCGTGAGATCAATGAGCGGGTGCTCAAAGACTTCCAGTAAGCCATGGTGATCGGTCCCATGCGGTGCTAGGTTCACTTGGAATCGGCCTTCGAAGATCAGATTCGGCGAAGAGGGCTTGCGATGGACAAAGACTCGCGTCATTTGAAGCGGCAACTCAATCAAGGCAAGTGAATGAAGAATGACTTTCTGGGGCGGTGTGTCGGGCTCGGTCCAGGTGCGACGAGCGAGGCCATCATTCACATAGCGGACAATTTGTTCACTTATTTGA